GCATTAATGTTAAATATTTCGTATATCATGCCAAGTAAATGGTTTATTATTAAAATTCGAATACGTATCAAATGTATCAAAGTACGAAAAATTTTGTTTTAATTTATTTTACAAAACAGCATCGCAGCAGCTGGAATACCTCAGATTTAAAGAATATATTTTCTATATTTATTTAAACATTTCTAAATAACTGATGCGAGCATTTGTGGCACATTTGTATCTTTACAAACTTTACATTATTTATATCTTCGATTGATAGGACAGATATAGAGTACATATAGAATATATGTAGTCATATTTTATAACAATTGTTTTCGTTCATATAATTTTTACTTCAAATATGTCCTCATTTTGAAAAAAAAACTAAATTTCTTTTATACATTTAAGCTGTAAGCGAAAAATACTTTGTATTTATAATATGATAACTGAGTAAGACTTGGAATTTTGAATGTCCTATTTAAGATTTAAAACTTCTCTATAAAGAAATTAATTTAAACATAAATAATGCGTTCAAAGTTGCTAAAAGTAATTTAAAACAATATTCTTTTAAGAAGGATTGCATCAACTTAAATGAACTTGCAATTTATCTAGACCAAATTACTTTGTAGACTTATATTGGGCAATATGATATATAAAAATAAATTTTAAAATTCTAAAAAATCTAAGTCTTCGATTGGCTACACATTTAATATCGTTTTTATTTATGATTACTCCGTGCACTGCTAAGCCACCTACGCAAATTTGTTCCGTCTGGCAGTCCATGAATAATAATCCCATAATGCCATTCGTAGGCATTAACCCATAATCCCATAGAATGATCTAATTAGACATAAATATGTTTTTATTAAAATTTCGTGGCCAATTCGAATGAGCAAATTCTATGGCTAAAAGCATTTATTCCTTGGTCCAGAATAATGACAATAATATCCATAATATAATATAGCCAAATGCTGCGCGCCACTTGAAATTTAATGGCATCCACGGTTAAATAATAATGAGCTCATGGTGTGAGTAAAAATTATAATTTTTACCCCTGTCTTAGTCCTCCAAATTGTGGCGAATGGCCAAATAACTAGAGAAATGTTTAATTTGCGACAAATGCAGCACAGCTCGAATGACAAACAAACTGGTTAGAACTTTTAGCTCTATGGCAATTAAACAACATGTGTGTGTGTGTGTGTGTGTGTGTGTGTGTGTGTGTGTGTGTGTGTGTGTGTGTACGTGTGTGTGGGTGCTTGTGTATTGCAACCCAAAAGAGCCGCCGTCAAGTGCTGCCGCCCAAGTTTTTGCGGGTAAACATTGCGTAAACAATTTAATTAATAAAAATATGTAAATTTAATGAAAAGAACAAACGAACAAAAAAGAAGGCTAGCAATTAAGAATTAAGAAAAAAAAACAAGGGATACTGCAGAGCCTGGTCTTGAGTAGTTTTTACAGGTTCTTATAGCTGACCGTTCAACCTGAGCGTCATAAATGTATTTTAATTGGTGTTCAGGTATGCCCTAAAATGCAAAGTAAAACTTTTTTATGAACTAATTGAAAGCGAAAAAGTTTGCGATGAAAAGCAGATGCCCAGTGTATTATGTTCTTCTTGTTTCATTTCTTCCCTTTTTAATTCGGGACAGGTCCGAGGTCTCTCAGGATGCTCAACAGAGCCGAACTAAGCTGAATTGCAACAGAAAAACTCTGAAATCCAGTAAACTCAGTATTTTTTGCCGTTATGCTCTGCTTTCCCTCAGCTTTGCTGTTGTTTATCCATTGTAAATTTAAAGAAAACAAAATTAGGCAGGCACAAAGGAAGCCCAACAGTTTGTCACCATTCAAAGCAGCACGAAATAAGTGGAGGCGTGGTCTTTTGCCTTGAATAGTTCTTGATTTGACAGAACACCTGTGCGCATTACAATGCCCAGAGAAATGCACAAATAAATTGTCTTAAATTAAATATTTACGAAGCATTTATTTCCATAGAGGCTGCAAAAGATTTAGCAATTAGTTTTAGTTCTTAGAGACTTGAATTTAAATTTCACGCTTTTATTTCAATGAATTGAAGTGCTTAAATCATTTTTGTAAATATTAAAAAAAATAGTTTTTTAATTATTAATAAATTTTTAATAAGTTTTAGTTTCTAATTCTAAAATCTAAAAATTTCTATTCATACTACAAGTTTGTATTGAATCCTAAGAAAAAATTTTATGAACTGAGCTATGAACTGCCTACGTATAAATAATAGTTAAGCCAAGTTCAAGTTATCTTTGTTGATTGTGGTTTATACCCTCTATACGGACTCGTGTATACATTATATGATCATGTACTCATCCACAAAGCGAAGGAGTAAATTGGTTTTATGCAATGTCCTTCTTGCTGTTCGTCCGTCCGTCCGTTCACTTGGTCGTATGAATGCAAGCCATTACGCCGCTATTGAAGTTAAATACTCCAAGTTTGACGAGTAAATTGAAAACGGGTAAAACTGTATCTTCCACAGCTTTAAGGCTATAATTTCCAAATATGTCATTTGGACAGTCAAGATCCTTTACAGATCGATACAGATTAACGAAATAAGTCAGTGTTATCTAAAGAGAAAATACATTTCATTGCTTATATTTGCCGTTAAGTGTATTTTAAAATTTGTATTAACGATAAAGCAACGCTAAGTAAGATAAAAGTGTATTACAAATCATAAAATCGGTCTTTGCTTTTCAGACTTTCGCAGCATAAGATTTTTTTAATTAGAAAATAAAATATGTTGAGTACTTGAACGCTATTTAAGCTTTTATAGATTCACCTGAATGCCATCTGATATCTTTAAGCACTCAAGCTATAGACTATTCTACTAGCCATTTTTTAATAACTTTAATAATTAAATCTCCAATTTCATTGTTAGTATACAAATTTTAATGTATAACTAAATCCACATCAAGATGAAAGTTAGAATAGATTGGCAGTTCATTTGCCAAAGCTTAGCTAAATTCGAATAGTTAAGTAAAGATAGAGTATCTTCTTAGAGTGTATTTTTATCAGTGCAAGACAAATTATCGCAGCTGCTTAATATCGACTGCTTAATATCGAGAGCACATGCAACCTTAAATTACAAATAGAGTTTCAGTGCCAAATTTATTGATGCGAACCGCTGAACAGCAACATAAGAAATTCAACTAAATGCGATTTGTGCTTATATTAATAGTAGCACGAGAAAATTTCGCCCAAACGAGCGCTGAAAATGGCATCAGCGGCTTAGTTTCAATTTCGATTTCAACAGGAGCAAAGTTTAGCAAGTTGAAGGCAGAGCACAAAAATTTTATCATTCTTAAGCTATATAATATAAATTTAAAAGCCACATTACGTTCGCTTATAAGATGTCGCTTATTGGGGCTTGCAATTTGTACGATAATCCCGGAGACTTTCCTTTTGCCAGCCAAGCCAAGCCAAAGTATAAAATAATAAAGGTACAAAACCCACCTTAATTTCACAATATTCAGTAAAAGATTTTTGTGATATTAAAAGGGTCGCATGAACGAATCTGACAAAAAGGCAACAAAATGTCCTTGGCCAAGCACACATCTAGCACGGGCCCAAGGACCGCGTGTGAGTCTGCCTGATTGGCAAGAGCTTAGGACAGTTGAAAGTAAAATTCCAAATAGGTTTATTACGCCTTTTTGAAAACTAAAAACTCAAATGCCGTATTCCTTAGCCAAGCGTGGCACATGCCAGGATTTTTATCCCTCAAAATATGTGTATATTTACATATGGCATTTCCAGTTCATTAAACAATCTATAAAGCAGACGATTATTACAGCTAAATTTTACTGTGCAAATGATGTGACGATAAAATCTATAGCAGCAAACGAGAGCAGTTACATAATTTCTTAACACAATATTCAGTTCTGTTAATCTCCTCATGTAACACCCAATCGCTAATAAGGTGAGAAAAGCATATTTAACTTACACTCTGTGCTAAGCTAAAGACTTAGCTAAAGACTTGGGCTGATGTGTTAAGATGTATTGGATAATTTCGCGAAGGACGTGACTAATCAGTAACTAAACATAGGTATATTTTTGCATATGCAGCCACTGAAGCTCGAGAACTGAAACTTGAAATATCAATTCGCGTATCAATAGCTACAGCCATTATGAAGTATTTACAAGTCCCAGCTAGTTTAGCATTTCTCTAGAGAAAAAAACTTTTAATAAATATACATGCGAGCCCATAGGGAACACGGCAAATCGGAAGTCACCAAATCTCTTACAGTTTAACGGTAAGGTTTTGCATATGGAGTGTTGCACTGCTAATCGCTCCTGATGATATAGCTGGAATTTATATGAACTGTTATAAGGTAGTAGTCATTTGGAAAATATAAACTTCTGAATTTAAGTGGTAAGAAATCGTTTGTTTGACAATTATAATATCGTAGTAAAAAACTCTTAGCTTTTAAAATTTTTAATTGTGTTATAGAAAGACAGGAAAGAGCTTTCATATACCAGGCAATTTCATTCAATAATAAATATTAAATATTTTCAATTTTATTTTCGCGAGCCCACTTCTATAAACTCTTTTATTATAATCACTTATATTTTCTATATTTCATTTAAAGCTTAAGTTCTAAAATGAAATTTCATAGATTTTATAATAATATATATCGAAATATATATAATGCTTTCCAAGCTACTACTACTTCAGACTACTCTTTGAATGATATAGTCAGTTTCGCATGTACAGTGACTGCTAAATATATGCCATATGCTCATATTAATCACGATAATCAATACTTTATGTATTCAACTCTGTTAAATTTAGAATTCTTTAAAGAATATTAAGGAATTGGAATCAAATGTTTTCAAGCATAATCTAGGAATACTTTCATATAAAGAAGCAAAAGCAATTTAACATTTTCAATAGAAAAAACAAAGTTCCAGCAAAAAACTTAGAATAGCATTTTTAACAATTGAAAAATATTTATAAATTAAAAGATATATTTAACAGTTTCCCTATTAATTTCACTTACCCTTTTTTAAACAACAAACAAATTGATAGAAATTAAGTTTTGATTTGTCTTTTTGTATTCTGATATTCAGATATCAAAGTTTCTATAATTGTCAAAAACTGCACGAGACAAGAAAACTGTGTTAAGAACTGTGAAGCACTTTGAAAATATTTTTGAATATTTCCTATTTGAATTCACCGTCGCTAGCTGCTTCCACTGCTGCTCCACTGATGATGTTGCTGTTGCTGCTGCTGTTCAGGACTTGCCGCTGCTACGATAACTGCACCGCTTTGGAACTGAAACGTAAGTGAAAATCGGCTGCCAAGGCGCACTCGATTTATACGAGTCGTTTGTTGAGTTCGTGCCTCCAGAGCTCGTATCAAAGTGGACGAGGATTCGAAAGATTTCAACGCAATGTATAAATCTATGTGTGTCCGTATGTGTGTGTCTGTGTGTGTGCGTGTTCTGTCAGGTAAATAGCGACGACACGAGTATCCAAACGAACGCCCACGACATTGATGTTGCCCAGCAAGATTATGCGCAGTCATTGTTGGACCACACGTCGAATGAGCAATGTGCAACACGTGGTGCGTAGCCACAGAGCCACGCAGCTGTAAGCTGCGGGTATTTAGCGAAAGAGTGCCTTATTTTATCGGTTTATCAGACAGCAATTACGCACAATTAGCGCTCGCACACACACTTTGTCACGCGATCTTATCAGCTAATCATCTAATCATTCTAATCAGCACCAGATTATTTTCAATTAGTTGCATATTTGGCAGCCGTCATCCAAAATCTAATATAAATCCTTGGCTCTCCGCTTGCAAAGTGGCCGTTGGCTTATTAATTCTTCGGCAAACGGTTTGGCTTTTTATCGCCCTTATCTAATTAGTTTTATACAATATGTTTCATATTTCAGCAAACATTATCACAGACGGACACGTTGTTTTCATGCTTTTCCGCAGCCGCAATCGCAATGCCACATAATTTATTTGTTAACTCCCAATATTTATTGAAGGCCACGGTGAATGTTATTTGGGTTTTTTTGTTACTAATGAGCTGGAGATATATGGATATGCAGAGATTTGCAGAGTTTCAAACTGAATCAATTCAATTTATATAACAATTTTTGACTAGCATTAGTCAATATATATTTGAATATATAGAAACGTATATATAGATACATGTTTATATAGATACATGTTTGTTCATCCATATCTCTTGAGAAAAGTGTCCGTATTTGAACTGCACTCCAAGCTGCTCCTTTTGCTTAACTTCTTTTTTTGTAATTTAACGAAAATGTATGAAGAGATGAGTAGTTAGAGTACTCATCTTCTTCATACCAAATTTGATGAGTTGAGGCGTAAAAGTGTACGAGATAAGCTCAAGAAATTAATCACAATTTATGTGAAGTAAAGCTCAGCTATAAGATGTAACCTTTCAAGTATCCTGCTCTTATAGGTTCCCACGCGTTCAGACATACTTAAAAATAGGCGAACAGGCAGACAAACATATTGTCGGCTGTTGACCTGAATCAAATATATATATATGTATATATTAGCAGATCTACATCCTTCTTTTCTCTCCTCTCCTCTTCCATCTGCCTTACACATTTTAAATTCGCGTTTATTGTTGAATAGTTATAAATTAAAGTTAATTTTAGATTAGGTTTTAGCTTATCCAAATTATTTAACAAAATATATTTTAATATAACTTAATATATTTTTTAAGTGTCAATTAATTTTACAACAATGTGTTTAGCACGTTTAAGCAATTCATTCTTTTATTTTTTTAACATTTGTGGATATTCAGCCAATTTCTCTTGGAAAACATCTGAATGAAGCTGCTTCAATCTGAAAATAAAGTTCTTATATATTGTTTTTAATAATAAAGCATCAGCTTTCTCTACTTGCCGACCATGTGAACGAATCACTATATTTTCCATCGCAATATTTTAATCGAGTCCAATTAATTTCCATGTACCTTTGGTCGCATTCACTGAAAGAATAACTGCGAATATTCCAAGATTGTTTTTCATTGCAATTCAATATATAGAACACAAGTGAACCGCAATGAATAATAAAATCGTTTTTTATTTATATAATGTGTAGGTAAGACGACTTACTCAATTGCTTGCAGCCTACGTATTTATTTATAATTATTATATTTGTTTAAAAATATGTTTCAGATTATGATTTAGAGATATATATATTTTTAAAATGTAATTTTCAAAATGTTGTAGAGATAAAATATTTTACTTAAACTAAGAAAATATTGCATAACTGCAAAGGGCAGTCAAACTGTTGAGTCCGCACAGGTAAATATCAAAAAGTATTAAAGAATATATATAATGTAGGGTATATATTTGTTGGCTGATAATGGACCAATTCTAGATCTATATTGTGTGCATTTGTTAAGACTGAACTGTAACCTCAGCTTGATAAGAATTGATTGATATGAATTATATATTTTAAGATTTCATTATGCAGCTTAAGCCACAATAGAGTGCAGTCTCAAATATTTAACGAGAACACAGTGTGCAAGTATAAAAATTATAAATATGAAGACATAATGTTATCCTTTTGTATGAATAATGCGGTGGGTACTGTTAATCTCCTGCTGCAAAATAAGCTAAAAACAATCTAAGATGCAATCTGCATCCCTGATGCAGCACCACGAAACGAGCAATCTCTGACTGCAGAGGGAGACAACTTGATCTAAAGCCAGGATTAAGTTTGTAAATTAGAAGATGTTATAAATCAAAATATAATAGTAATAAATTTCTTTTAAACATGCTTATAAATAAATTTAATCTCAGGATATTGCAAAAGGAAAGAACTTTTAGAAAGTCTTTCTGAAAATGACGTCATGGAAACCTTACCATGAATTTCATACAAAAATTGTCTCATAGGCAGAGTGTAGCTAAACTATTTTTTATATAAATTTTATTTCTTTAAGCATTTCACAAGATGTTAAACCCAAGAATAACATAAATCATTTGAAAACTTAAATCATTTTAAAGTAAAGATATTTATATTTTTTGCAGTCTTAGCTTAATTGTATTGAAAATTGAAATATTGCTGTCCAAGCTCGATAATTATAATTTGGAATATTATGATACGAAGTATTTAGTTAATAAAAGTATTAAGAAGGAAGTACCAAAACGACTGTTTCAAATTACTTAATAATTATAAGCCGGAAATATTTGACCCGATTCAGTGCATTCCCTAATCAGGCAGATTGCTGTTTAGCCTATGTTCATACCATGGTTTTTTTGTTTATGGCACCAATAGGGAGTTGACGACTCACTGATGAATGATAATGCGACTGATAAAAGCTTTGCAATGTTTTTTCGACGTGGTCAGCGTGGTCAATTGTCCATAAACGCAGAGAAACGTGATTTAAATCTCTGGAGTATTGTGAAGGCCTACACCTCAACTGCTAATAGAACATGCATGTACATATAAATGTGCGTGTGTGTGTGTATGGGTGGGTGGAATTGAGAGGTCTCGCATTATCAAGTGTAAAAGTTGGGAAACAGAGTTTGAATGAGCATTAAGCTAATTGAGTAACAGAACTTATGCAAGTCCAAGGTCGCTTCTGACATGTGTCTTTGCATCTTGTTGCGCATATATGATTATGACAGCTGTGCGACCTTTTGACCTTTGATTTATAGCGGCTAAAGATAGCAAAAGGCGCAAGAGGTTACGCGCCACATCCATCAACACACTTCAAAGAGCCCTGTCAACATTTGATGTCGGAGTTCTGGATACTTCTAGCTAATTTATGTATTATATGTATTTATTTTATGCATGCGTAAGTCGAATCTTATGGAAATCTTCCATCGTCCAGCATCCAGCAACCAGCGTCCAGCGTCCAGTGCAAAAGGAGTGCATTTCACTTTACCAGGACACGGAACGCCCGTGGCGAAAGCCTTGCATATTTTGTAAAATAACTATCAAAATGCTCATATACGGACATTAGCGCAAAGCCAAAGTCAAAGCTAAAGCCAGAGCCGTGGTATGCCATGTCGTCATGTTAGCAATTCCCAACAAATTTCCCATAAATCCTATATATATTATACTATACACTTATATATGCATATATTTTGTCCGTATGACGCTATAAAAAAACATTATGCATATACCTTTTTATTGAACTTAAATGTTCGGTCAATTTCCCTTTGTAAACATTAATTTTAATGCCACATACGAGTCGAAAAAAAAACGCATTTTCTGTAAGCAAACTTGGGTTCATCGGTTCGTGTATGCACTACAAAGATTTCGAATATCTTGAATTTAAATATTTTCTCTAAATGCAATAAATCTCGTAAGATAATAAACTAAATAATAAATTTGTCATGTTTCGATTTTTAGAGTAGACTATCTGTTATCTCTTTTTTATATAAATCATTTAATTTATGGCACTTCTTATATAGCCTTTTCATATAGTCGTACTTTTAGACAAGTTAAAGATTCGTTAACTTATATAATATAACTAACCTGTCTAAACGCAAGAACCATAATTTTTGTTGCCATTATGAGAACATTGTATGTCTTATAGGTAGGTATACTAACGGGTTTTAGGTGGATTTAAATTTTTTAATAAATTTTTAAATATTCTTTCTTCTCGTACATTTTTGTAGCTTAAAGTCCATATGTGTACATAAGAAAATAAATTACTGTTTTTCGAAAACAAATTTCTAAATTTGAAAATAAAAGGGAAAAATTAAAAAAAAGCTTACATGCAGCATTACTTAGCATGCTTTTAATGAGTTTTATATTAATCAGTTTTATATAAAAATAAACCTAAAGAATATCGACCAGAGCCTCAAAACTTTCCCATAAATCACATCATATCACAACCCATTTCACAACCTCAATAGAATTTTGAATGAATCCAAAAAAGGCAAACAAATTTTTTCTAATAAGTTTATTAGTATCAATTATTTACCTAGTAACATGCATATATAAAAATATGAATGAGTATTTATATATATAAAATGCAAGAATGATTTTTTATTTTGGCAAATTTTGTTACATCATACGTATAAAGTGTTTGATTGATTATTTCTGAATACCGCCCAACGCTTTCACAAATGTCCTAACAATTTCAGGATACCCCTGGGAAGGGTATAAATGGCAATAAAAAAGATTATGAATAAAGATGACCTGTTGAATAAACATACAGGTACGACAATATTGTGTAAATATGCACATTTGCGTTCGCAAATTTAATCAAGGTAGTTTTTCTACCAATGACATCAAAAAGAATCTTTTTTAATTGGGAAGTGGTGCTGGGAGCAGAAATGACAAAATTCGTACTATCAGTAGTTAGATGTTAATTTAGTTTTCAACTTGTAAGTCCTATTCGGACTACAGCTTTTATTCTAGAAATTGATTGTCAATTTGTTGCAGCAGAGAAGTATCTCAAGAACCTGATATCACCTACCGGGTAAATCGCATTTCCTCTTTATCCCTCATAAACTTTTGAAAAACCACTACAAATCCGAAAACACTAATTATTTAACTTTTTTCTATATATTTTTATACATTTATTCAATCAGCTTATTTTGTGTATGTAAAACCAACGAATATTTGAATATTTGACACTTGATCAAGGATTCAAAAACTCAAATCGCATTGCATTAACTGCAAAGTATATACAAAAATATAGCTTCTTACGTTTACTAAGTGTTTATTACTATAATAAACCCTGCGTTCGATTACAGAGATAATGAAGTTTGCATATCAAATAGAAAAGGGAAACAAAATTAAGGATTATTTTAGTTCTATTCATCATCGTCGTCATCATCATCATCATCATCATCATCATCATCATCATCATCTTCATCATCATCATCATCATCATCATCATCATCATCATCATCATCATCATCTTCATTGTCAACTTCATCATCAACCTCATCGTCATCATCAGCATCATCATCTACCTCAACATCTTCATCATCTTCCTCTTCAGACTCGTCTTTTTTGACCTTTTCAGCTAAATTTTTGCGTGCTTTTTTAGCCAACACAATCGAGTCTTCAGGTCCATTACCGTTCACCTCATCGTCCTTTCCATCCTCCGCTTTGAGTGCATTTCGTTTTAGCCGAAGTTCAGCCTTACGCTTAACCTGATCGTGCGTCAGCTTAACAAAATCAACATCCTTGGTAAGAGCAAATCTAGTTAGCACTTCATTTGCCTGCTTCTTCAGCTTAAGCATGCGCTGCTCTCGAGGACCAACAACGTAGGGTGTGTCCGCGGGTGGGGCGCACAAGCTGATGTAGAGGGGCAGTGCAGATGTTCCCACAATGTCGATTTTCAAATACATCGAGCGTATGTTGGGTAACCCGCCAGGATACTGCTGCTGCAGCTGTTGAATGACGCAGAGCACATTTTCTGCCAGCTGCTTGCCGCTGTGCTCATGATTGCCGACTGGTATGGCTGTTAGATCACCCTTCCGCAACTGTCTGTAAGCAGTTCGGCAAAGACCACGCGAAATCTCCTTAGCCAACTGATTGTCTTTGCTCAGACGGACCGCGTGCAGTACATTACGAGGCTTCTGGGTAAACTACAAATAAAACGGAATACGATTATAGCAGACGCCCAGCTTATTAAGCTACTATTGTTACTTACGTTGCCAAGGAAGGCGGTAGCCTGACCCGAGATGCGTCCATCGCAGAGTAAGTAGTCATAGCTATTCAGGAACTTGCGTTTAGCTTCAAATGTGCCCATATCATTGCGTAGCCGATTGAATGGCACTATCGTCAGACGCTGCTCGATGCCAGCCTCGCGGAACAAATCCTCGTAATGTTGCACAGTGGGTTCATAGTCGAAACGAGCTCCGCGCTGCAAGTCAGTCACAATGACTGCAACGTCATCATCCTTGCCAACCAGCGAGTGCTTCAGCGCCAGCTTTACTACGCGCTTCGGACAGCTGGGTATCTTATAGCTGGACACCTGTAGAATATAGCGGTAATCGCTAAAGATTGGCGTCGCCTTTTGCTTCTGCACCTCCTCGCGCACCTGACTCATAAGCGCAGAGCACACTTTTTCAACATTTTTCTCGCTGACAATTTCATTAAATCTATCTTCATCAAACGACTTCAATTCATATTTCAGTTCCACAATTTTCGGTTCCTTTTGTTTTATTGCATTTTGCTGTTTCGAGATCTTTCCTTTCTTATTTTTTTTATTTCCAAATGCTGCCAATTTTTTTGTAACCAATTTGGGCTTTGCTTTTTCTGAGACTTTCTTTGATGCTTTTGCATCTTTGACCGACTGTTGCTGCTTCTTGGCGTTCTTTGTGGCTGGGACAACGGACTGTTTAATTTGCTTCTTATTTTCCTTGGTATTTGTAACTTCGACTTTTACGTTCTTCTTCGTCACAGATTTCAACACAGGGCCAATGGCAGTCTTGCTAACTACGGCTTTTACGTTCTTCTTCGTCACAGATTTCAATACTGGCTCAATGGCAGTCTTGCTAATCTTAGCTGTTTTCGCTTTTTTAGGAGTAGGAGCAGCCACAGGCACAGATACTGGGGCAGCCTTTTTGCTTGTTTTTGTTGGCAATGCAACCGGCGATTTTGGAGGTGCAAGAACTAAAGGCTTCTTGATTGACTTAGTCTTCAGTGGCAATTTCGCTGCTTTGAGCTTAGCTTCCACGGTGACTTTTGGGTTCTTTCGCTCAGAACTCTTCTTGACATCCGATTTTATTGCGGCAATCTTTTTACTGTCTATTCCAGTTGCGGCAGACGCCAAGCCAGTTGCTTTTGATGTTTTCTTAATGGTTTTGTTCACTGTCGGTTTTTCTTTAACAGCACCATCACTTTTGGTGGTTTTTTTAAGAGTTTTTGGTTGAGGTTTTTGTACTTTTACCATGATTACTTTTAAAAAAACTTGTAATAAAACTTAAACACAAACTCGCTAAGCAACACGTGCAAGAGTGCTTGAAATTATCGCACAATATTAACTATCGAAATCGGTTAGTCAAATATCGCTTTAATCATTTTCGATAATAGTAATAGTGCTGGAAAACGAAGGCATTCAAGCGGGAAAATTTAAATTAACAGAGCATACTATGAAACGGATTTCTTAAAAATATGTCCGCAAATTAACTATTGCTGACGACGATCAGCGTTTTGTCAAAATATTTCTTACACAATAATAAATACCCACTCTGTACCTAAATAAATACGCGTCATGTGTATGCTATAAACAGAATTATTCAATTCTGGCATTTAAGAGTCAACGACAAAAATAACCTTCTTCTATAACACAAGTAGCTAATAGTCATTTCCTTGAACAAAGCACACGCCCACGAAATTTGGAGTGGACGACGCATGGCATCTCCCATGGCGCCTCAAATTAAAGTTTGTTAGAAACGCAGCATCCCAACAGTAGCTGAGTGTGTGCGACATTTGATGGCACGTGACCGGCGCTTAGCGTGTTTTTGACGTCATAAAGCGGGAAACCAATATAGTCTTCGCTTTGAAAAGCTTCACAAATATAATTAACATTTATAAGTTTTTCTTTATGTATTTACAATTTTAGTTTTTTCGCATTGACTTTGGATGTGTCCTTTTTGGGACGTTTGCTGCCAGCAGTTGCGGACATGGACGATGTTGTGTCTTGCAGTTTATTAAAGAATGCCTTTGAGGATTTCAACGCGCTCTGATCATTGCTGGTGGTAATCTATAAAAAAATAATCCAAATTAAAACAACAAATTGAAACCAGAACTGATGAATCGCAAACCTTTTGCACATTTCGGCTCTTTGTAATCGTTTTCAGAAGCTTAGCATTTGCCTCCCGTTGAGTAGGTGCCTTGCCCTCCTTGGCACGTTGCAGATCTCGCATTTCTATAGCCGTATTAATGGCACGCTGTTTTTGCTTCTTCTTTCGGCGTTCGCGGTTTTTGTCTGTGCGTGTGCGTTCTGTCTTGCCCATTGGCGTATGCTTGGGCCCACGGAACACCTCCTCCGGAGCGAGTAGTTTGGCATCGCTAACTGCCAGCGGAGCAACCTCTTCCATGTGGACAGCGGGCGTGTTGGTGACAATCTTGGCTTCGGGTGCAACTGGTTTGGGTGTGAAATGGAAATTGGAAAGTGCATCCAGCTTAAGGAAGAGTGAGCGCATTGCACGCTTAATTTCTTGATGCTCCTTTGGTTCTGGAGCCGTGCTGTCGCCATCATCGCGGTTGGGGTCTAATTTGTCCAGTTCGCGATGGTATTGCTGTTCGTAAATTTGCGCGAGCGATTGCTTAGACTTTTCCTGATCAAGCACAAGTTGCTTTCGGTATTCCTGTGGCGTATGCACTGGCCGCACCGTACGCACCACATCGTCCCAAGCCTTATCGCGTATGCGCTGTTTTATTATTTCCTCAATGGTCTGATTTTGTTCATCTGTTAATGGAGCCGAAGGTCGTGTCGTCGAATCAAATTCGAGTATTTCTTCCAGCAGCGAGTTTTGAGGTCGATTAGCTGCTTGTACTTCGCCTTTAAGCTGCCACGGTTTCTCGCCAAGCACCACGTCTTCATAGTCGCGAATGCGCTGCAGAAGTCTCGCCTCACGCAATTCATTTGACGACTGCATTTGCGTTTTAGATTGTTCTGCATCATTTTCATCCTCATCGTGCTCGACTTCGTCATCTTCATCTTTTGCGTTTCCATTCTTAGATTGGTTCGATTCGGAGTCGGAATCGCTAGCTGACTGCACACCACTTTGAGCCACAAAGTCATGTTCATCAATTTCGCTTGCCATGTCATCCTCAGGTTCCAAAGGATTCTGCTCTTTTGATTCCCCCTCGTCTTCGTCTTGATCTGGCTCACTGTCGCTTTCATTGAAGAAATCTTTTTGCGTGCCTCTCTTCAGTGACTCTTCCTGCAATTCATCGTCCATCTCGAAGAAATCGGCGAAGTTCGCATTAGCTCCATCCTCATCATCGTCTGAATCATCTGCAACTCCAAAATCTTCTGCAAAATGATTAATGGCATCTATGTCTTCAACTGGTTTCTTATTCTTTTGTTTTCGCATCTCTTTAGCGTCTTCCTGCTCCAAAAATTTTGCCATTTCGTCCAGTTTAAAAAAAGTATCATCTACCACAGAGCCTTTGCCTCTTTTGCCATATTTCGGCTTAATTTGCTTCGATTGTAGGTTTAGTGTTTGTTTACTTATATCGCCGGAATCCTCAAACTCAGAGTGTTCCTCATCATCATTATCATCTTCAGTTTCCTCTTTATCACTTTCTTGCTCACTTAGCTGTTGATTTGAATCTTCATCATCGTCGAGCTCGATGCCCAAATTCTGTTCTCCCATTGCTATAAATTGAGCGGTTTGTTTTAAAAGTTTATCCAGCACCAAATTGTTGCGTATTTCAAGCTGTTGCCAGACTTGTTCGTCGTCCATGTGCTCCAACACAAGTTCAGACGGAATGTCCCCATTTTTATCCACATCGCTGCTGAGACAGACGCTGTACGTTTGCTGTATGAGCTGATGTATGGAATCAATTGATTCCGGCTGCGGCCTACAACAAAAATATTTTTGTATTAGCAACACGTGCACCGTTAAAAGTGAACTAAAACTTACTTTAGATAGCGATCCGGTTGTTTCACTAGCTGCTCAAATTTCTCAGCTAGTTCCATAAAAGTATTTGTCTTGGATTTCTTCTTTGCCTTAACACTTCCAGCCATATCTGGACCGTCAACTTAAATAATTTATTTTAAAAGAATCTCAAACAAATGCACAATATTACTCAAAATGGTTAAGCAAGCAAAATGAACAAAATACGTTGAACTAGATGAGTAGTTTGTTCGCTCATTTCAACATGAACTAAAAAATGAGCTAAATAAAAATACTGAAAAAACAAAATGGTAAATTATGAATTTATTAAAGAATTGATAAATAAAAATGATATTTGAGGTTGAAGTTGATTGAATCCAATTACATTTTATTTATGTACACAAATCTACACAAATTTAGTTGGGGCTATTTCAAAATGTATTTAGTTACATATATTGATGAAGCTAAGTAAATATTGTTAAGAATAATTGTAATTTTTAATGAAATCACCTACTTGACAAATAACGAATTATTATTCAAACAACTAATTAACTAAATATATCTATTTTGAATTTAGTGAATGCAGTTAACGTCAGCGAATTTTCAATCGCGGGCAAATGGAACAGTTTACTGTTTTCTATCGATAAGAAATACAAGTATATTGGCTGTCTCTAGCAACGAAGACAGATGTTATTTTAAAATCACCGTCCTCAGATACCGGAGCCGTACTAAAATTATTATGTTTATAGCCTGAGTTGTCAAAACATTTTGCAGTCATGGACTCCAATCGCTACAAACTACTCTTACTGGGCGGCGCCGTACGTTTATATTTCAGTAATACGTCCTTGGCTTCGCTTATCGGTAATCGCGTTGAATTCGCCACTCCTTTAAACTCATTCAAGCGCCGTAAGTACGAAAATATACCGGAAAAAATATATATGTATATATATCTGTGTAAATCGTTTCCATATTGTTGAATTTTTGCAGTGCAAGAAGGCGTATTCCTACTTCAGCAAGGTGTAGATCCGTACGGAGGAGATCTGGTTCATGAGTCGCCGCTGCTTCTGAAAGCTCTGTCTGGAATTTTATTAAACTATGCTCAATGGTTACCAATATTATATATACTTTTTGACTTGTGCACAGCCACGCTACTTTATTTGCTGAGCCATACATTTGTGAAGCAAAAGCTGAAGCAGCAGCAAGGAGAATGCAAAGATTACGCCAAGGATACAGAGGAGCTCCAGTATAGCGAAAATGACCAATTCAAAATACCAGAGCTAGTCTTATTAGCCTATCTATTCAATCCACTGACTATACTAAGCTGCGTTGGACTAACCTCCACAGTGCTAAGCAATTTATTATTAGCGCTGATTCTATATACAATGGTTAAGCGGCAGCTTTTCATTTGCGTCATTGTGCTTGCTTTTGAGACAGTTCGAAGCCTTTATCCAGTTGTTTTGATTGCGCCGCTGCTCTTAATCTTTGCCCGTCGTTCCGTCGGTCTGAGCATCGCTATATTGATGGTTTTCGTTACTTCTTGCTTTGCTGTGGCAGGTGCGAACTTCTTAGTGATGAATAGCTGGAACTATTTAGATGGAACACTCGGATTTATGTAAGTGGCTGCAATCAATTGGGCCCAAATTGGTAAATGAATACATTGTTTGTTTCAGCTTTTACTTTAGGGATCTGCAACCTAATATTGGACTGTTCTGGTACTTTTTCACAGAGATGTTTGAGCATTTTCGTACCATGTTTCTGATTACATTCCAGCTAAATGCCACCGTTTTGTATTTGGTGCCACTGTCTATAAAGTTGCGCAAGGAGCCGCTTTTGTTGGCCACCGTTCTCATTGCGCTCATGGCAGTCTTTCGTGCATATCCTAGCTTAGGCGATGTTGGCTTCTATTTGGCTTTATTGCCTCTGTGGCGACGCTGCTGGAAGTGTGAGTATAATTCGTTTTTGGCTGTTAAAACATAATCGAATTTTTCATATTCCCTTCTAGTCATGGCACATGGATTTGTGGTGTTTACTTTCTTTCTTATAACATTGTCCATGATGGGCGCCCTGTGGCATTTGTGGATCTATGCGGGCTCTGCAAATGCTAACTTTTACTTTGGTGCAACCCTCGCCTTCAGCACGGGTCAAATATTCCTAATTACGGATTTACTATTTGCGCACGTTAAACGCGTGTTCTGTCTTTACAATGGTCAAAGGATTCTGATTGATGGAGAAGAAGCGCGTATATTGCTAGAATAAGCCATTTATAAAGTATTCACAAATTAAAAGAATGGATTTATTCAACTAATATGATTAATCATGAATTATTGTGTGGAGTATCCGGTTTTAGTTTTCCGATTGAGGAATCTGTACAAATACAAAATACGTTTTTGCATATCCTTCCACTTGGTCGGCCGAGCAATTGGATACTTGGTCTTCTCCAGCATTCGACGCTTACGCAGCAACACTTGATACTCATTGCCCGAGACGCCTCGCAACCAGGAAGGTACAGTGTATAGAACACGGGTGGGATGAAGCCGGTCGTTGCCCAGTATGTCTATGAAGTCGTTTTGCCCAAAGAGAGCCCGTTTCTCAGCCCAGGGATTCTTGGGCCTATACACGGGCATGGGCAGCTTTTGCCCATTATCTAAATGCGGCAGCAATCCACTCTGAAAGATCTTTTCCTTGTAGCCATAGCGTCGAACTGTGCGACCGCGTGCCCGTCGTTCTGCATGCGAAAGCTGACGCACCGTTGTGGAACAGGTCAGCGGTAGCGGCTTTGACTTGACAGCGAGTTGGCCTACGCTGCACAGCTTTTGAAACGTGCTGACCAGCCAAGACATTAGTCTTTGTTTTAATTCACGATTAGGTAATTGTAAATAGTGAACTGTAAAACTGATAGGCAGCAGCTGCGACAGATGTTTCGACTCTTGAATATGTTATCGTCGAAACTATCGTAAGTGTTTTTTTCGATGTGGCAACACTGCAACTGTTGCATACTTCGATCCAGTGCGTCAATAAGTATTCGTTTACTTTTTTTTCCTTAAACCTTGAATGCATATTTTCACGTGCCAATGATTGCCGCCGCAGCAGATTCATTCGAAGTAGAAAAGGCCAAGCTGTGTCGCAAGATTGCCGAGCTACAGGCTGCATTGAATGCGAAAGATCAGAAATTGCGCGAGCTTCAGACCAGAGCAGATAACTATGGTGCAGAAGACGAAGTGCAATTCGCTCCAAGGGATAAACATGAAGCTCTAAGCAACGATGACATCGCACGCTACAGTCGACAGCTTATATTAACTGATTTTGGTGTAAGTGGCCAACTAAAGCTCAAGAACAGTGCTGTGCTTATCGTTGGTATGGGTGGCCTTGGCTGCCCAGCAGCACAGTATCTGGCCAGCGCGGGATGTGGAAACTTGGGACTGGTTGACTATGACCAAGTAGAGCGAAGCAATCTTCATCGCCAGACCTTGCACACGGTGTCGCGTTGTGGTATGTCAAAAGCAGAATCGGCACGAATAGCACTGTTGGAGCTCAATCCCCATTGTCGGATTATATGTCACTCGCATCTTTTGAACAGCTTTAATGCAATGCATATAATCCGCGCATATGACGTCGTCCTCGACTGCAGTGACAATGTGGCCACACGGTATCTTCTGAACGATGCCTGCTCCATGCTCCAGAGGCCTTTGGTTTCTGGCAGCGCACTCAAACTGGATGGGCAGCTAACTGTTTATTGCTATGGAGAACACGGACCTTGTTATCGCTGCATTTATCCGGTGCCACCTCCCCCAGAGGCTGTCACCAATTGCGGCGATGGTGGCGTATTGGGCGCTGTCACTGGCACAATAGGCGCTATGCAGGCATTGGAAGCTATTAAAGTTATTGTCGGATTCGGGGATGTTCTGGCCGGACGCATGCTTATCTTTGACGGCAACAGCTGCCAGTTCCGCAACATCAAAATTCGTGGCAAGCGACCCAATTGCCATCTCTGCTCAGCCCAGCCACTTATCACTGGCCTGATCGACTATGAACTCTTTTGTGGCATGAATGCTAATGACAAGGACAACGCGCTGCAGCTGTTGGGGCCAGAGCAGCGTATCAAAGTGCTGGACTACCATAATCTGGTTGCCCAGACTGTGCCCCATTTGTTGTTGGACGTTCGTGCACCGGCAGAATTTGAAATTTGTCAGCTGCCGGATGCAACCAATGTCCCTTTGGCTCAGATTCTGGACGACAGCTATATACAGCGCTTTGCTGAACAATTAAAGAACAAACAATATCCAATATTTGTCGTTTGTCGTCGTGGAAATGACTCACAGATTGCAGTGCAGCATATGAAAGCTCGCTTCCCCGATCATTCCATACGGGACTTGGAAGATGGCTTGCATGGCTGGACAAAGCTGGTAGACCAGAATTTTCCAATTTACTAGATCTAATTGTTGTATCGTTACATATATACTCTTAAATATCTAATAAAATAATATATATCCTTAATTTTTTTCTAGACGAAAGTCTAGACCCAAACTGTCAACTAGTTTTATTATTTATCTGTCTGGGTATGGGAACTTCATCGATTGCTTTCATACTCCTCTTCTCCTACTGCTACACGCTATGCAAAATCATGTTCACACACATGCATACTCATGTATGTGGAATTGCATTATGTAAATTACTGATCAGCCTTAATGTAAATGAACACCCAATTCAATATATAACAGAATATGAAACGTTTACCCCGAACTGCAACTGATAAACAAAAATGTTGTAAGAGTATATGTTCGATGTGCTTAAGACTTACGGGCGGCCCGACAACTGACAAAAGATTAGAAGCAGCTAATTGAGTACGCGCAAACAAATGAAAAATCGTTCAAACACTTGAAATTACGAAGGTATCAATATGCAGCATGAGAGTCTGTGCGGCTATGTATTAGTGTGCAAGCGATAGTGACCGAACGTGAGCACAGGCATAAAAGCAGCTCTGTTAGTTGGCGGCCGTCCAGAAGTCGAATGGCATTAGCCCAGCTAGCTGTCAGCAGCTCACCTCTAGCAGACTACTAAATACCAAAGGCGAAGGTTGACAGTCCTGTAAACTAGTGCTAGTTAACAGTGCTGTAAACGAAAAATCTAGCTCTGCTGAGTGCTCGCAAAATTCAAAGTTAGTCTATTACTAATAAATTAGCACAGATTAAATTAGACGCAATGAGGAGCCTGTTGGTGTATTTGTTGGTTGCCTTTGCGCTTGTGTTGTGGGTGAGTGTATGCAAGAGTTATCAATATAAATCAATATACTAATCTATATGTTTAGCTGCCCTATGGAACTGCCGACGAAAGTTGCTCCGCTTCGGCGATGCAAGCCCATTGCTTTTTCGAACAGGAGAATTCCAAGTTGCGTGAACGTTACCATGCCGAATATTCCGCTGCCTATGCGTACAACACTAATGTGACGGAGGAAAATCGTCGTGCCATGATAGCGGTCTATGCGGACAGTGCTACCCAGAACAAGCTGTTGGCGCAGACGATTAGAGCAGGAAACTATGCCAAGTCGGAAGATGCAAATATACGAAGACAGGCTCGAATGTTACAGGAGCTGGGCGCAGATGTACTCGATCCTAGAGACTACCTAGAGCTACAGAATGCGATAAGCTCCATGCAATCCAATTATGCCACTACCACTGTTTGCTCCTACACGAATCGTAGTGACTGCTCCTTGACGTTGGAGCCGCACATCCAAGAGCGCCTGTCGAACAGTCGTGATCCTGCCGAGCTTGCCTGGTATTGGCGTGAGTGGTATGACAAGGCGGGCACACCTATGCGCGAAAACTTTGCCAAATATGTGCGATTGACGCGCAAGGCAGCAAATCTGAATGGTAAGTGATGTTCGGTGCTTTAAGATAACCCCTTGATCCCACACAATGAATGTTCGTTTTCTAGGTTATCGTTCATATGCCGATTACTGGGTACACTTCTATGAAGATGCCAACTTTGAGAGCCAGCTAGACTCCACCTACAAGGCCCTGCTACCATTCTATAGACAAGTTCATGGTTACGTTAGGTATCGTCTTCGCCAGCATTACGGACCTGAGGTGGTCCCTGCTGAAGGCAACATTCCTATGCACTTGCTGGGCAATATGTGGGGGCAGTCGTGGAACGAAGTCATCGATCTATTCACACCGTATCCGGAGAAACCGTTCGTGGACGTCAGATCGGAAATGGAGCGACAGGAATATAGCGTTCAAAAGCTATTCGAGCTGGGAGATCAGTTTTTCCAATCGCTTGGTATGCGAGCTCTGCCGACAACTTTCTGGAATCGAAGTGTGCTTACACGACCCACAGATCGTGAAGTAGTTTGTCATGCCTCTGCCTGGGACTTTTATCAAGACAGCGATGTTCGCATCAAAATGTGCACTGAGCTGAACACGCATTACCTATACGTGGTGCACCATGAGTTGGGCCATATTCAATACTACTTGCAGTATGAGCATCAGCCCGCTGTTTATAGAGGAGCGCCAAATCCAGGCTTCCATGAAGCTGTGGGTGATGTCATAGCGCTGTCGGTTATGTCCGCCAAGCACCTGCAGAGCATTAACCTCACCAGCAATGGAACTCTAGACGAACAGAGCCGTATCAATGAGCTATTCAAGCAAGCGCTCTCGAAGATTGTTTTTCTTCCCTTTGGGTATACTATGGATAAGTATCGATATGCCGTGTTCCGCGGTGATCTAGATGAGTCGCAGTGGAACTGCGGCTTTTGGCAGATGCGTTCCGAATTTGGTGGCGTCGAACCACCAATGGCTCGCAATGACAAAGACTTTGACCCCCCTGCCAAGTATCACATCGATGCAGATGTTGAGTACTTGCGCTACTTTGCTGCACATATATTCCAGTTCCAGTTCCACAAGGCTTTATGCCGTCTAGCTGGACAATATGTGCGTGGCGACAGTAGCCGCACTTTGGACAATTGCGATATCTTTGGCAGCAGAAGGGCGGGTGATGCATTCAAGAAATTCTTGTCGGCTGGCAACTCGAGGCACTGGAAAGAAGTCTTGGAAGAGTTCACGGGAGAGACTGAAATGGATCCAGCTGCGCTTCTCGAATACTTCGATCCACTCTATCAATGGCTCAAGCAGGAGAACAAACGCTTAGGTGTTCCTTTGGGTTGGGAAGATACCAACAGTAAGTTACTTTGATTTGAATAAGATATATACATATTCTAAACCTCTAAACCTTTTCAGAAATCCCATCCAGCTGCTGTGGCGCCTTTAGTACTTAACTCAACAAATCTCCTTTTCGTTGCATACAAAATTAAGTTGACTTTTAACCATATAAAAATTCTTACTAACTAAACTTAATGCAACAATTCGACAGTTTATTTAATACCTAATTGAACATCAAAATAAACTAAGTCGAGTTTCTCAGGCCATTACTTAAGAACATTATTCACTTTTTATATTCTTGACGATGTGGATCGAACAAAGAATAAGCTCGCCAAAATCGAAGCTTAAGCATAAAGAAGCAAATTAGAATAATAAATTAGAATAATACAACAAAAGTTCACTGTAAACCAAAAATTAAAAATAAACCTCAACTTAAAGAACTTTACTTTCATGCGTCTAAGCACTTGATAGTTCTAAAATTGAGAGAAGAGCCAACATTTTATACAGATATTTAAGATTTGTAATATTTTTAATAGAAAGCCCACACTTATCCGAAACCCCACGTTAAAAACAAAATTTTAATGAATAATCCAAAAATATAATAGAAATATTTATATACTATTCATAGAGATCATAGAAATCCTCGTAGTATTTAAAGTGATATTTATTGTTAAGATTCTCAAATTTGTTTGATGTTTATTAATTATTTTCCATTACATTTTAACGATATTTGTTGTTTTCCCCAGGTTTCATACAAAAATCATCAATTGTTTATTATTATCAACAAATTGCTACCCAAACAAATAGCTCTCATGCTCTTCGAATATTCTATTCCTTTCCGATTTGCTGTTTCCATATATTCGTATATAGAATATTATAAACTTTCAATAAATGCTTGGTATGCGCGTTGGAGCGTGTTTTAAAGTTGATATACATATATATACTAATGCATTAGAAAATTCATTGGGCAATGATCTGAGTGCAATGGCTGATGCATTAGCTTTTGAATATTTGAGATTTTGATTGAACTCTTTGAAGATAACATAAGAGACATTTCGGCAAAGGTATTTGAATTACACAAATATTACAAATTTCAAAAATTCTTTCGTTACTGCTCATTATGTCAATAGATAAGCGCTATAAACAGTTCAATAAGTGAAAAATGAAAATTTAGATTGTGTTCCTATATTTCATTTCTTTGCTCTAGAAGCATATAACTTTTTTTCGGATAGATATTGTCGATCATTCTCGTTTATGTGTGATAATTTAAGCGGCTCAGTCAGAGTTGAACAATGTAGAAAAACTAAAATTCTCTAAATTTTGACTGCCAATGAGCACCACAATATATATAGCATTGCTTCTAGTTAAATAGTTCTTTTGTTTTTGATGATTTTTTCTATTGTTTCTCTATTTATTACATAAGATTCGCTTAAATAGTTTTGTTGTCCAGTAAGATATATAGTTATATATATTTAATATCTTTGTCCTCAAAAGCACCTACTCAATATTTTAAATCTCAGCTATTCGAAAACTATTGAGGATTTTAGAACAGCGTTAGGGTTTTGAGATATATTTTGATTTGTTTGTTCAAAGCTGGCACAAGGACACTCTGACGCAAGGATATAGGGAATGAGAAATGGAACATGAACTTGGATTCAGGCACTATATCAAGTACTTAATGCCTACTTTCAGAATATGTTCTCAAATTTTGATGAATTTTTGTGGGAGAGTACTGGCCAATTTTAAGACTTTTTGAATCGTGCTAATTTATAATGTACTTGAGTGCCTCTATGTGAAGGAGATTAACAGCTTTGTTTTACTTAACGATCTGCATAGGTGTTTCTCAGTAGAGGAGAATAACAAAATAATATGCGTATAGATAGATAGTTATAATGGTTTTTTCTTTGTTGACCAAGAGTTCAGTTTTTGGTTAATTCTAATGAGTGAGTATGCTTTTTTATAGCTTTTTAGTTTTAGAATAGGTTCAAATAGTTCAATAGGTAATTTAACAAAGTTTTATGCTTGCTAACATTTTTGTTTTGTTTTGTTTTTGTTTAATTCAAGAAATGCCCTCGTATTGTTTTTGTTTCGATGCTCAATGTTTCTATTTGAAAGCAGCAATTTATGATTTAGTTTTACGGCTAATATACAAATAGATTAAATATATATATATATATTTTTATAAATATGCGATATACGTAGTACTTATCGAAGGATTTCATCCTTAACTATTTAAAGATTATTATTATTGAATACAATTTCGTTTCATTTTTTTGAAAAAATTTAACCATTCGAGATTGGTTGTTGCTGTTGACGCTTACGAACACAAATTTTCTAAATCCAAGAACGAAATGGAACGAATGGCAAGCTTGGATGTGTGTGTGTGTATGACTGTTCGTGAGACAATTTAGGGGATATTTGTTTCGGGTGGCTGTTTCGATGCAGCTGCTGCCACGCAAATCACACGTCGCATTCAGCTGCCCTTTCAAATGTTGCTAAATGTTAATTGACTTCTGGTTAAATGTGCAATTGACTTTTCAGAAATGTTTTGTTGCTTCTTTGTTGGTTGTTTATTGTATGTTGCTGTTATGGTATATACGATCAATTGTCGTTCTTGGACCAGGCATACCTTAGTCCAAGAACGGGTTTTGTCATACGGGCCTCTGATGCTGCGAATTTTGATGCATCAGCTGCTGATGCTGATGCTGTTGTTGTTGCTGCTGCTGCTGCTGTGAGACACTGCTGATACTGTGATTGCTGCTACTGCTGCTTGCGCCGCCACCTTTTGGCCGCGTGGGTGGTGGAGGAGGCGGTGCATGCCGCATACGTTGCTGCAGTATGCGTGGCAGCTGCGGATGCGCCTTGTGCTGTGCTGGCGGCGCAGGTGGGGGTGCTGATCGATGCTGATGATGATAATGAGGCATCTGCTGCTGCTGCTGCTGGTGCTGTTGTTGCTGCTGTTGTTGTTGCTGTTGCTGCTGGTGATGGTGATGCTTGCCCATGGATGACGCTGCTGATGATGAGCCAGACGCCCCAGATGTTGAGCTTGTCGATGCATGCGATGTCGTTGAACCTGTCGCCAGTTTGGTGGGCAAGTTCCCACTGGCTGCTGGTGAGGATAGCGCAACAATACCTGCCGGCGGTACATTAAGCTTCGGCACAGCAAGTGGTGCATATGAGCCGTCATCCTCATCGGACGACAGCGAATTGGCATCGGATGGCGTGCGCGAGCGAGACGGTGGCGACAGCGCATCCTGCTCTTGCAGAAACACACGAAATCCCTGAATGGATTCATTCAAAGCCCACAGCTGCGAGAGCAACGACAAATCCAACTGCCGCAAGCCATACATTTCCCGACGCAATATCGCCAGTTGGTTGTCAATAGTGCTTGAGGCATTGCTGCTGCTATTGGTGGGCGTGTGATGCTGCTGGGCGACGCTTCCACTGGCGCTATGCGTGGACGACGCTCGACTGTGTACGCTTTCTCGATCACTGAGCGACTCTTGTGTGGATGATAAGCTGCCGTGTCGCCCATGACCATTGTAATTGCGATTGCGTGCCGCCGAGGAGGTGGAGGGCCCCAGGTACAGATCGCCCGTTGCAGCAGTTAGTGCGGCCACAGACGAGGCCGATTGCAGTTGCAGCGGTGAGGATGTGTGCGAACGCAACTGTGACTGCCCGTGTACCTGGATCTGGCTTTGTGTGTGGCCACTTGCCAGATCAGTTGCCATGGTGGTGGCAGCTGCGCTCAGACTTTTTGGCAGTGGTGGCAGACCGATTAATGAGTGTTGCTGTTGTTGCAGCTGACGTTGTTGTTGATCAGAGTTTTCCATCATTTTGCAAAAAATATGTTTTCGTTGTTCTTGCTTGCTTCTTGTAAATTTCGCTCTCTTGTATTCGTAATCGTTCACGTTCTCGTTTTTTTTTTCTTTTACTCTTCTTGTTTTGGGTTTAGTTTAGCTTTTAGTGTATATTGAATTTCCAACTTTGGCGGCACATTGGACACTGTTTGTTCAACGGTTGCAAGTTCAGCCACTTAACAATGCAATGCATGTGAAAGCAATGGGAGCAAACACCCCACACCAGTGGGCAATCGTCACCGGGTAGCGCACACTCGGGGCAAGTGCTCTCAAAGGACATGCGACAAATGCCACAATTCTCATCATTCGCTATCCAACGCCAAGATGCAACTCCCGTCCATGACTTGATTGTTACTTTCATTTTGCGCACATTTGTTTATCAGTTGAATGATAATCTGATGCTATTTAACAAAGTGTATAATGCGTATTTGATATAATAAGAATCGTGAGTTTTCCGCAAATATTGCTTTTTTTCTCCTACTACCTGAAAATAGGTCGACTGTAGTGATGTGTTTTTCGTTTTACTCTCTCTCCCTCTCGTCAATATGTTGTTTCTCTCGATTAATGTGAGACGTTCGACTTAACAGCTCCTATGCTCAATATGACACTGTTAAGCTTACATTGTTCTGTTATGAATTCGCCATGGTTCTTAATATTATTTTAATATTATCGATAAGTAATTCTGAGTCTTTATCAACGATGTGTTATTTCTTTTGAAATATCATTGATTAATGTTCTATCCAACTGAGTATATAATATAGTTACAAAAACACTGGTATGCATTTTAAAAACATGACTGACGATGAGGTCTCATCTTAATCGCTTGCGATAAGATATCGATAGTAATCATTATGTTGTCGTTTTTGGCTGTCGTATGCTCTATGTTGGACATTGAGAAAGTGTCTCGAAAATATCTAAATTTCAACAGTTTTACGTTAGTTGTTTCCTAAAGTAGGAGTGCCTATAATTAAATTTTATTTATGATTTTACATTTTTACAACTAATACTTACTGTCATTAAATAATATGCTAAGTTAAACACTTAAGAAAAGCTTCCTTTTTGCCATGCTTTAAAAAGCTAACAATCAAAATCTTAGAGCGCGGGCTTTTGTATATGTATCATGCTTTAAGGAATCTGCATTTAAAAAGCCGACATGCATTGCAAATTAAGGAATATAATTATTAATTGTAAAGTTATCTAATCACACGTGCATATAGACACTTGTATTTATTATTTAAAAAGTTATTTAAAAGTAAATTCATTCTTTTATCAAGAGCACAATCTCCGATTATACATGTGTATTTATACATACACCATTGTCTTACTGGCTTGATCAAACTCGAGTCGAATCATTGATGATAAAGTCGTTCGCGTCGTCGTTGTATCGCGTTCAGTAAACCGACGAATGTTGAAGCTGACTAACGTGCGCGAAGCTTTTCCCGTTTACGCCTTGTTGTTCGTGTGAAGCTCGTAGTGTTATGCGGTTTTAGTTTACAGCGTGAATAAATACAAAAATTGTCCACAAAGTGTTTGCAAGAGTGGCATAAAAAGAAGAGCAAATATATATACGTAAGGTGACTACCAAAAAGCTTACCAAGTGCTTGTTGTGTGCCTCGAGGAGCTGCTGAAAGCTTCACTAAAACGAAAGCAACTCGGCAAAAAAATAAAGTGAAGTGAAGGAGCCTTTGCAAAGTGAGCTCGATTCCTTGTGTTATGAGTGAGTGCGTGAAAGTGAGAGAGAGAAGAGGGTGAGAGGGGCTAAAGAACCTGTACTTGCAAATAACTTAAACACAACTGCACGCTGAGCTGACCCTGAGCGGCACGATTTCCCATCAGCTGGAAAATGGAAATTCGCAACGGATCGCCACATGCACTGGAATAGCTATGCATTCGTTGTGCGCATGCGTTGAGACCGTTAACTGACTCTTATAACCAGGCGAATCTTCTCAAGCCTCTGGTTCCGGTTTTGTTTGTTTCTGCGAGTTTCTCGAATTCCCCAAATCGTTAACACACATACATACATATGTGTCTGTGTGTAAGTGTGTATGCATATGTGCATGTGCATGTAAGCAATGTGGACACTTTAATTACAAATGCGCGCTTGCAAGTATATATGTATGCATGTATGTATTTGTGTATAAGACTATATCAATTTGTCATAATTTGAAATCAAATGTGAATTCAATTTGATATTTGCGAGTTTATATGTTGCTTGTCATGTGCCTTGGCCATAAAAGTCGCTAATAGACAAATAAATAAACAGATGCACTTATTTTTAGAGGCGTGAGCTTGAAGAGCCAGAGGGAATTATAAAGCATGGCCAATTACTAGAGTTTTGTGTGCATAGAGAAGCCGCTGGCATTGTAATCAAATCAATAGGCGGACGATGTACAAATGTAATTGAAGGTATATTGGCCAACTTTCGGTTTAGATAAGGCCTAAAGCCAATCGCTCAATGTCTGCTGACTTGGCCTTCAGAAACGGACCTCGTATCTCATATAGAACTACGAGGCAATCGGCCGGCCTATCTTAATGCTGATAAAAAGAGAGCTAAGGCACAATGAAATTGTTTTGACTGAAATTAAAAAGCAAAACACCCAACGAGACTTCATTTATTCAAGGAAGTAATTCCCATGTTAATGTCAATTGAATCACGGAAAGTACTTTTCACAAATGACTCATTGTGTCTACTTTATATATGATTCTATATGTATTTATATATATATAACAAGTCTTCAGTGAGTCGCCTTAATCGATTTGAGAACAAAAAAGACGGAACTCAATTAAAAATTCAAAACATATTTTTAAAATCACTGGGAATATTCAGACATTTTTATATAGTAATTGGAATTACTGCAAATATTTCTCAATGGTTAGTTATAATAGATAAAAATGCATATTTTCATATATTCGTGCTCCATTTAAAAACAGATAGTTCTCTCTTGAGGCTAGCCTGCCCCCACCCCATATCTTTCGAAACCTGTCTACCTTTATAGCTGACAAATACGCAATGTGGCTTTCATGTTTAATTGCCTTTGTTGTCAAATACCTGAACAACAATTCTCTCACGTATATTACTCGTGCGTAGACTAGTATACTCTATACTCAGTCTCTGACTGACTCAAGCTACAGCCATTTGTTCTCTCATAAAGTCAAGGCGAACTGTTGCGCTCTACACAGATTTACGATTTGTAGCTTGAAGAAAATGAATTGAATTTTAAAGTTTAGAATAATTAATTTTATTTGAATTATCCCACAGCTAAACGAGGAAGAAACAAAGCTAAATTTCATTAATTTTTCAAGCAAAGTCAAGTCTATTATAAATTGTATATTCAAAATGTATGGTGTATGGTCGAGCATACCCGATTTGGTAATATAAGACAGTATATTTACTTTTGGATTTGGAATGAATGGTGAATGCTTTATATAAACATACCAAACTGAACTGGAACATACACAAAATTACAAATAGTCGAGCATACCCGTTGCATCGATATACATATATAATATTTTAAAAGTCTTATGAAATTGTGTATAATAAATAATCATTCTTTACTTTTCCCACAATTTCAGTAAATTGAATAACATTTTGAATATAGCTCAGTTTATAACAAACTTTAAGTACAGTAAATCCTGTCTATACCGGGCAGAAAATTTTAGAATTTTCTGATTAACAAATTGTCAAAGTAAAATTGTTAAGTTCTAGGGAAAGTAAAAGCAGTATAGATAATTGTCTAAGTTAGGCAGGCTTTTCAGTCGAGCATACCCGATTTGCCACTAGATGCTGCCTCCGCCCAATGAAACATTCACTTTTAAATGACTTCTGCTGCTCTTCAAACTAATACTAAATCTAAATAAGTGGCATTAATTCCAAAAAACTTGTTTCAATGTTAACTAAAACCAAATCCAATTACGTGAAACGCTTAAAAAACCCCGAGAAACTGAATTTGATTTATGAGGCAATGAAAAGAGTTATTGATCTTTCGAAGCAAAAGAACCTTTTTATACCCGTTCACCAAGCAGGAGGAGTATATCGGTGTCATGTACTGTTCGTTTTCTGTTCTGTTGCTTGAAATATGAAATATTTACAGGAATACCATCTGTAGATAAAAAAGCTTAAAAAAAACGATATATCAAAGTTTGATCCCTGTTAAGGTAGGCCCCTAAATTATATGGTCTATAAATAATGAATTAAGCTACTTGTGGAGTGTGTGAACGAGAATTATGCAGTTGGTTGAGCTGACTCTAATGTTTCTTTTTTTTAAAATTAAAATCAGTTTTTAATTAAAATCTGCAGCTTTTGGCGTCTCTAAGATCGAATTGACATTTATGATTGGAGTTGCTTGAAAGCTTATACTATGTATGTATATAAAGATATGTATAGATATATAAAGTATTCATTGAGATTTCCGAGACTGAAGTCACGACTGAGCAAAGAACTTCGCTCCCTTTAACATTGTGACGTTTCAAGGTCGAGTTTTGAAGTGCGCACGCTTCACTTCGCTTTAAGCAATTAGTGAACAATTTACATTTGAACGATTACCCCTTTTTTCAAGTAAATATATAAATACAAACATTATATTATAAATATCACTAAACGAAGCTTGAGATTGAAATAAGAAAGTATATATAGCATATAATGCATATAGAAAATTGTATGCAGTTTCTATTTACAGAATATATATAATAAGAATTGTAAAACCTTTTATTATTATACTGACTCTTAAAGTAAAACATTTACTGTTACTTTGGTCCGCGTTTAAAAAATAGTTAAATTATTTTTGAAACTAATTTCTTTGGATTTGGAGTAGACGTTAAATCAATCAATAAGAGCTTTAAAACTGAGGAAGATGCAATTTTACTCAATTTGCTGTATCGACAATATAATTTTAGGCTAAGGCTGCATACACGATTGTAACGTCTGTCTTTATATGTGCCTATAATTTCAGTATTTTAACTAGAACTGGAAATATTAGATTAAGATATTAAATAGCCTGGAAAAATGATATAAAACTATGTCTTCAAGTTAAGATCACCCTATATGGATTAGTACACCCATCTACTGGAAATATAGATTTCTGTGATCAGTGAACGAGTGTCATGCAGTCGGGTAACTTTCTTTTGGGAAGGAGCATACAAATCTGATAAGCGGATCCATTAAATTTGCTGTTTATATTTCGCAGTTTCGTCCAAAGTATCGAAGTTGTTGAACCTTAACTATGAAAATGTTTTGACCTTGAGGTGTAAAAGGCAGCTGGAACGTTCTTAATGAAGTTTCACTTTAATACTTTGTATAAAATTGCCCAGAAGTTTGCTCGGATCTGGCTCCACATTACTGTTCAGCTGGCTGCTGCGTAGTAAGGCGTAGCACAGTGATTCACAATATTAATTTCAACACAGGAAAGGAATTAACTATTTTCTTCTTGTTTTTTTTATTTTTATGAGATTTTTATTATATTGAAAAATTAAATATAAACTAACAAGACTGAACGCCTCTTAGTAGCAAACAAAGCAAATATGAATCTGACTCATGGGTTCAATATATATCAGTAAATCAATATTGACTACACTTGTCAACAGGATTTAGTAAGCAGACTCAGACCATGACACCAGGTATCCGAAAGTGAAGCTCAAACCAGAGTGGGAAAAAGATTTAAAATCAACAGAGGAAAAATAAATATTTTATAAAAAGAGAGGACTTACACTCTTGTATATTGTAGCTTTATTATTAAAAAAATGATTAAGGCATTGCAATTCTAAATTTCACAGAATTTGCGTATTATTGATTAAGATGGCTTTAAATATTGTTTAAAATTTAATAGATTATCTGACAGTTCCCTCAAATGCACCCATTATCTATACACAAGTATATATACTTGCAATTGTTAGACCTTATGGAAGTTATTATTTTAACAGATCAGTTACAATATGATACGAACTTATATTCCCTATAATCGAACGCAACTAACGCTTCTTTATAAGAGCATATCAAAGCCGTCGTTGTCAATGATATTTAATTTTCCCCATTCTGTACTCTCTATATATTTTACTTAATTGTTGTCGTGCCAATTATACAGGTGTTTACAAGTGAGTTAAATGAATTACAAGTGAAATCGTTTTCACATCGATCCACAACTTCAATATTTGACTAAGTCGAAGCTGGCTTTTGGCCAACCCACTTAAATGCTAATTGCATGTAACTTGGCGCGCTTGAAGCCCATCCAGAATGCTATTCAGGCCAGTTTCGTTGGTGTCAATAACCGTTTGCACGTTCGGCATTCATGGTTGATCCACAACTACATACAACTAAAACCAGACCAGACCTGAGCGTGCACTGGCCCCGATTTTGGCTTTGACAGTTCAAAATCAAGTGGTTTTTTCTCGTATACCCTGAACCCATTGCAAATGGTTAAACAGGGTGTGATCAGCTTGTGCCAATGTATGTAACAGGCAGATTATGCCATGACTGATCCTATTTGGTATTTATATTTTTGAGCAGGGTTGAATAGCCGAGTTGATAGAGCCTTGCTCGTCTGTCTTTTGTTAGAAGCGCAGAACCTCGGGTACTACTCGGGACTTGAAATTTTAAGTATATGTACTTAAATATGTATGTTTCTTCTACATCTCATTATATATCTTTATTGAACTAATTTGGTGTGTAGCCACTCATAATAAAAAAGATCTCATAAATTTTAAATACTTTTGTCTTGCGTCATTGAAGAAATGAAAATGTCTTCAAGTATGATCTTATCCAGAACCGAAATCACAAGACCTAGTTTCCCATAGTTCCGCCTAATTGTTTTTCAACAACAGCTTGTTACGGAACTCAGGGCACCTCGTAGTCGAGCAATTCAACTAGAGCGATGTTGTGTTTGTGCGAAAACGATCGAGTGATCATGCGATCGAGTTTGAGTGCAATCTAGTTTCGCTTGTATCAGTAGCTCGTATGCGAAAACCTTTTTGTAGCAGTTTCTACAAGTCGCAAATAATATTAAGTGCTTTGATATAGGTGCACAAGGATTTCGATATGTAAGTAACCTCAATCTGCCGACAAAACCTCTCGATCAATCAATATTGCTGCACTGAATTCGATTGGCAAACAAATCCCAATATACTTATTCCAGCAGAGTAATTAGTTGAAAATCGTTGATCGTTTATTTTTCGTTAATATCAATCAACACACGCGCTGGGATTCGTGTTGATATTACCAATTAGTAAGCGGACTGTAATGGGGACCTCAAATATTTTCCAGTCGTGGTTGGTTATTTGGATTTCTCATTTCTTAGTGGTTTGCTCACAGAAGTATGTCGCCTTCATTGTTCTATTTCGGAAATGTCATAGAATTTGGCATTTCTTCGAATCACATTTTCCTCATTATTGACAACAATATACTTGGGTACAAAGAGTGCAGATCAATACGTTCTTTAAAGAAGACTATGCAACAGCCTGTAATCATTTGGCTTATTCCAATTATATATTTCTTACGACTTGGAAAGTTTAAGTCGTATATATTCCATTCCTTATGCTTTAAAGTACAATCATATGCCTTAGACTTATAGGTTTTGAGTGTTAAGCTCTGCAGAATAGAATACATATCTTATCTAAAAGCAACCGACCCAATTTAGTAACTCAAGTTCTAATGAAACTCATACAATTCAATCTGACCTATCTTTTAACGGCTCTAAAAAAGTATCGAAATATTGCTTTGTATATTATATAAACAATTTCTTAATTGACAAAATATTATATATTTACCACAGCTATAATTTTGACATCTTTTATAATAGTTGAGTTGATTTATACATTTATATCTAATCTACAATCCGAAAATCTAACTTCAATTTTAGTTGCTTTATCGACTGAGTCTATGATATGCCTTTAGCTAACAGCTCTCTCACGTTGTATAGAATAATACAAGACATATTTTTATATATGTATATCTACACAGATATATAAATGTTTCTGTACACACATATGTTTCTCGATTTTAGTTTATTACGAAGATGTGGGGATTTTTCCAGTGGGAACACTTAGATTATATTTTTTATAAGTACATTTCGCGTTTTATAATACTTGTTTGATAAAAAGCTGAATAAATACAAAACAAGAGAGAGTGAGTCGTGTGTGACAACTAGGAGATACCCTATAAAGGAATTAACTGTAAGAAAATTAAATATATTCAACGTTTTTTTTTATTCAAATAATTGTGATGAAGAATATTTTTTTAATTATTTAAATCAGTTTGTTTACAAAAGAAGTTTTACTTTTCGTACAACTAAATAAAATAATTTCTAATTGTAACTAATAAATAATGGTTTTTATTGAAACAACTCATTTTTTTATATAAACAGAAAAATAAATATTTATAGATAAGGTCTATAGACTTTAAATTGGAACGATAAATAGCTAAATTTGTAACAGATAAATATTTAATAGCTAAATTTGTAACAGATAAATATTTAATAGATAAACATGTAACGTAGATAAATATGTAACAGATCAATTAAATAACGTATTCAGTAAGTACAGGCTACAAATATCTAGAGCTAGCTAAGCTAGAATATTCCATTTAATTAAATAGTAAATGTATTAATATATCATTATTTATTACATGGAAAAAGTTAGATTTTTTTCCTTTTCAAAAAAATTTTAAAATAATAATTATATTCCGATGTACACTTCGCTCTGTAGTATCTGAATCATTTTGTTGTTTTGTGTTTTATAAAATTCACAGCATCGCGTGCTTTGGTTGAGTGACTTTTTGTTATGTGTGCATATTTTGCGTTTTGTTGCTGCTGTCGATTATTGTTGTTGTCTGTGTCATATATTGTAATCACAGTTAATGGAGTATATCGGTTTATCCAACTGTCTGCTCGAATTCAAGGCATTTGGCAACTAGAACTTTAATGTTATTAGATCACAACTGCTCGAAAATGGGACTACCCAGTTAAGGATTTTGGTTCGTCGTAAGGTCTCAGTTTCAACCACTCCATTTCCATAATCAAAAATGCAGTGTATTGCTCAGTCAATTATACTTGATTTCCATGTTCTAACTTGTTTGTGAGTTATTTTTTAAACTTTTTTCTCCTCTCTGTTGTGAATGCGCGGAAGTTATTTTCAAAACTCGCTTTCGATTCGGTTGAACTGTTTTTCGTTCGCTGTTTAATTTTCTGATCGCATCCGAATACGAAATATGAAAAAAGTTCAGAGGCAAAAAGCCAAAAGAATGTTTGTAGCGCTTTGAAATCTGACAAGCTTCAATGAAATAAGGAACAATGCAGTTAGATGCACGCTTAATCTATTAACAGTGCTATGACAGAGTAGAACTGACTGCCCAATACTCTGTTCACAGCTGAAATGCAGCTCATAGTATATTGTCTTTGGGAACTATCGACTTTTGCTATTTCTAGTGATAAAAGTAATTGAAAGCTAATATACTCTGTTGCTCTAATTTTTTGTTATACATTTTAAGTGGATATTTGGTTAAGTAATTAGACACAGCGTATCTCTTAGTCGACTACCCCTTCGAATTGCCTCAGCATTATATAATAAAAGCTGCTTGGAATGCGATATACGTACAACTGTGTAAACGTTACGAACACAAATCTGCAGCGACTACAAATGTGACTACTTTTCATTCCAAAAACAACTAAGATTGATGCAAACGTAACTGCTTGACCAAAAGATACCCTGCAGTCAGCAGTTGCTTGATCTGCTGCTTAGACATCTAATGTATATATATATAAACGTCAAATACAAAGGAATTTTAAGAATTCTAATTTGATCTGACAACAACAAAAACTCATAAGGACTCAGAATATGAAGTTTCAATATCGATTTTTGGAGATATCAAAAGTTGATAAGCTTAGGAAACTTCACTTTAAACAACAATCAAACCAACTCCCCGGCGCTTAGAAAACAGCATACCCTGCCTAAAAATGTTCGAGGCATAAGAGACAATTTGATTGACATTCAATTATTGCACATACGTACGTTAAATCAACGATTTCGAATATAAGTTTCCGTTTCGATCTGTGCGTCGAATCAGCTTTAATAAGTTTTATACGCTTTTCAATTTGCCGCTCACTTCAGAGTGGCTTGGCTTGGGGAATTCGGGTGGGTATACGAGTGAGCTTTGTCAACATCTCTCAATTGGTTAACTTGTGAAATGGATGCCATTTGTAATGCTCTCTGTCGGCTCGTCAATGACTGTTAATGAACTTCAGCTGCGACGGCGCGGATTCACGTGAATGCTGAGCTTTGAACTGTAACCCGTTTACAATTGGGAAGACAAGAAAAGTGCGGTAACTGAAACCGAAAATGAAACCCGTTTTGCTCATCATCAGATATCAACAATTTATTATGCCTCGCTCCTCTCGGTTGATACTTAACACCTGCAACTCTGCAAAAATGTACTGGAGTTGTTACTTCATCTGCCAACAGAGATTATATCCCTTTTTCAGATGAAACCGCCTCTTTAGTTTATTCATCAATTAAGAATCAAACTCAAATGAGCGCTTCCTGGAAAATATTTATTTGTATGCTGTCAGGCTTGACGTCATGAATTGTTGATAATTATATACTACTCATCAACAACAGAACAAGGTATAAACCCAAACTAAATTCGAAGAGTGAGCAGGTTGTCTGTAGAGCTTCAAGATCCAGCAGACTTCGTCGTCGTCCAGGGTTGTCATCGCTTTGTCACTCTCACTTAAAGCGCTTAAAGCTTTCAAAAGAAAGTCAAAGCTTTTTGTGTGTTAGCTCTAAAGGCAAGTAACTTAATACTGAGAGAGCTTCGCTGTCCTTTCACTATACTCTATAGATAAGTAATATTTAAAAATAAGTTTTGTATCAAGTTTTTGAAGGATTCTAATTTGTAGAATGAAATGACTTGAGAAAAACGTCTTTGATAACTGTGAGTCCAATAACCGAATTGATCTATCAATACTTAGGAATACATTTTTTTTCTAGGATTATCTCTCTTTTCATTGTCAACATTACTTGTATCAATTCATGAATTCTCAGTCCTTACGAATTAAAGAAAACTTTTATTGCAAAATTGGAATTTGACGTAGATACGAAATCGAAAAACTTGTTGAAATAACATGCAAGTTGAGGTTGATAGACGCTTTCGAACTTGTCTAAAAAAGATTTAAAATAATTCGATTTTCATTTTGAATAACAAGAAAATGTTGCAGAAATATATGATATTTTTATTGAGTTTCAAAAGATATGCTATTCGCAATACATTTAGTATGAAATGAGAAAAAATAAATGAAAAGAATGTGCGTCGCGACTCCTACTGGCTGATATAAACATTTATTAGTAATACAAATTTGCTTACCCGCTTTAACAAATTGGATTTTGCATTGATCATCAATGTGTCAGTTTGTCAATCATGCAAAACAGGTATAAATATATATGCATATATCCTCTCCAGTTTAATTACTCAAATTGTTTGCCTTCACATAAATGAAATCAGTTTTAGGGTATCGACGAGTTACGCACACCTGGTTAAAGCCGTTTGCCCAACACATTTTTCACAAATTATCCACAGTCACAAATAGTTTATTTGAATCATGACATTGACTTCAAAGTTTATTTGATGCTTTCGTCTTATAAAACAACTGTTAACTATCTTTCGAACCTAAAAATAGCTAATGAAAGTTAATTTGTTTTAAGTTTGATGACTTATCTCTATAACATTACTTAAACTTATTCATTTTTGTTTGAACGTGCCCCCCATAATTGGAAATCTATAGATTCGCCTAGCTAAGGGACTGTTAATGAAAAATTTCCACTGATTTTATTTGAAATTTCCAATTACATTTTGTTTGAGTGTTCAATTATCGTATGATTGCAATATGTGTCAATATTTGATCAGCCTATTTGATCTACTGCAAACGTATTTTCGCTTGAATGCTACGATTTTGGCTCTGAATATTATACAACAAAGAGTTAAATGTTTTTATTTGTTGCATAGATCCATATATTCCATTACAAGTATAGTCAAACGTCAGCTTTTAATACGATCCTTTGTAAGAAGTGAAGATCATTCAGAGCTGTCCTTTATTTACATTTGAAAAATTATTCTTGGATAGCTTCACTGCTAATACATAATATTTTTGGCAAGCAATCTTATCAAAATAAACAAAAGGAAAATAAAAATGATAATACAACAAAAATTGATTGTTTTCGTGTCTTTTGTTAATTTGATTATCATTCATTATATCATTAAGTTTTTGTGCATATAATGAATGATATTTATGGATTAGTTAAATGTTAATAAACCATAGGCTGCCTAAAAGTATGTTCTGTGCATTTTTCAAAGCCCCCCCATCATTTGTACAGCCATTCACAATATAACGAACTGTGCTGCGAATGTGGCCCAAATCACAGAATCTTTGCCCTGGCTGCTTATCGTTTAAACTGCTAAGTAAACAAACAAATATATCGCAGTTTTACATATACTACAGTGTACTGAGATATGAGTATGTAAGTAGGCAGAGATGTATATACAGATGTATATATATATATATATATATATATATATTTATATATATATTCCGAATGAAACAGGCTTTAAACCCTTTATTGTTGAGTTTATCATCTAACCAGAGGAAATGAATTTATTTCATTATATCTTTATATATTGTGCATTTAAAAAAAATTAAATGTAATTATAATTTAAAGCAATCAGAATTATCAGGCAATAAGCTTCAGCTTATGTTCTTACACATCGTATACCCTTTCGACAAGCTAAATTGACAAAATAAAGTTTAACAGTTTTATTTTTTCAAATCTTAATAATAATAATATATTAATTGTGTATTAAAATTAAATTTTATACATATTATATGACACATCGAAAGCTTATATATATACTGAGATATAAAATAATAAAAACAATGTAAGCTTTGCCCGTTTAACTTAAGTACAGAGTATTTTATAGTCGGCTACTGCGTATCAACGTATTGGTCGCAATGACGGTGACAGAGAGCGCATTTACGTTATTGCTTTTACTGCGTCAAGATGAGTACCTTATTGAGTGCTTGCGCGTGTAAGCTACGAAACGAAACACTGCAGTGTGAAGTCTACGCACACAGACACACTTTCACTCTCTCTCTCTTTTTGGTGCTCTCTCTTTTCGTCACGTTCGATCAGCACGATGCGTTCCGAAAACTCGAACTCATGACTCGGAGTTGCGCTTCCGAGTTGTGCAAGTCGTGAATGAGCGCGCGGCGAAAGAACGTAATCAAAGCTCTCGCATATCGCGATCTTTGATGAGAGAAGTCGCAGACAGAGTCTGAGTCAGATTTACGTACACAGGTGCGACAGCTAAAAACTCCGCTCTCTTACGCTCTCCCTCTCGCTCCATGGCGCTCGCTGGTGGCTGTTGAGAGCGCCATTATGCTATCGGCGAGATACATTTGGCCACAACCACTTTAGTTGCCGATAAAACGCCAAGCTGCTTCCACGCTCCACGCTGCGCCAATAGAGCTTTCGGACGAATCACACACATTCCACGACGAAACATAAATGTAATTTTCTTCGCTATTTCAGCAGCAGCAGCAGCTACAGCAACAACAGCCGAAATAACTAAAAACTAAGCGAAAACATTCCGCAACGGGATAAAACACAGTTATTTCTACGCCTCAAGTTGTTCCAGAGTTTTCCAAAATGTGCCGCTGTTTTCAGAAGTAAGCGGACCTTAACTTTATTTTTTTGTATTTTATTTTATTCCATTTTCGCTTTATACATTTACTGCTAACATTTGAATTCCATTGCCCCTCCCTTACCCCCGCGCACGCAAACACCTTTCAGCTGCGTGGAAGATTGTTACTGGAACTGCTTTGAGGAGCGATTTTGCTATGATGAATCAATCGGTAAGTTTCAATTTACATTTATGTAGTTTTATTTGCAGTTCACTCTTATTGGGGAGCTTCATCTTTTTTGTTGGACAGTTGAGGGCTAGTCGGTGCATGTTTACCTACGTGTTGCCATGTACATGCACGCACACACGCACACTCACACACACATACACACATATATACATATGTGCAAACAGTTTTGCTTGTGTGCGTGTATTTCGCATTTGAGCCGTAAAGTTATGCGACAGACGTAGACAATGTAGTCTTGAGTGTCAGAGGGAGAGGCAGAAGAAGAGAGAACAACTAAGTGGTAAAGAGAGAGAGAGAGAGGGAAGGAGAGAGAACGAGAGATATAGGGGTTAGGGGCAAGGCAAGGCGTGATTGGCATTTAAACGTTTGCAAAAAAAAACTTGAAACATTTGATTGAAATCAAATTAATAATTAATATAATTGAATGGATTGGTGACTAAACGACCATAACTAGATATAAATCAGCTATTTGTTGAGATTATAAAATGAGCTTGAGCTAGAGAAAAGATAATCACATGATAACACTGCTGATAGGAAAGTTCTCATATTATTTATATGCATTGCTCCACAGCCAATTACAATGCCGATGATGATGAGGAATATCTGGCGTCTCAGAAGCGTGGCACCATAATTGGACGTGCTCAGCCCACGGTGCAAGACAACAATCATCTACTGACAGTGCCACAACCCATTTGCGACCAGCCACTGGGCCGCGGAAACTCGGGCCTAATGAGGTACTAATTAACGCAGCAAACAAAGCGCCAACTCGACGCGCAATAATTTGTCAGCGAGTTGCTGATCAGTCGCACGCTTTGATTGATTTGCCTGCGAATCTAGCTGGGTGAATGGTGGCACAGAGCTCGCGGGAATACAATATGTTATTTGCCATTTGCATTGACAGCTTTATGTTTGATTTAGAACTTTCAATTATCTGTACTCAATGTTGATGTATTTTTGCACAGCGCCAAAATTCACGAGGAGGATTATCGGCGCGTGACCCAGACGAATGTACCCATGCTGGGACCAGAGATATTGGCGGTGTTTGCCAACTCGCAGATCTTCCAAGATCATCAGCCCACCAAGCTGAATCGCATCAGCACAAAGACCTTCTTGGCTGGCATCCATTCGCCCAACAAGGAGGCGCCCACCACGCCACGGCTCAGCGAACAGGAGCGCCTATTGCGCCGCCTGGAAGGTAATGATGGCCACAGTCACGCTCACATTATTAGTGGTGGTGCCAGTGGCAAGACTAGTGGTAAGAGCACGCGCAGCAGTAGCATCATCTCCGGCGGCGTGCCCAAGGTGAAGTTCTACTTGAGCTGAGTAGAGCGAGCACAGACCCAAAAACGAATTCCAATTCCAAACTGTGGCAGTAACAGTATTTGTGCCAAAGATACTTACAGACATACGTACATACATACTTATATACACGTACATATATGGAAACAACTTTCGCTTAGTACCTACACCACAAAATGTGACCTAATATTATTACTAATTAGCCATAAGTATTGATAACCAGCCAGTAAAGAGTGAGAAGCGACAAGTCGACAATGAAATAATTTACCAACAGTTTAGCATTTAGTAGTATTATTTTTACTCGTATTGTTACTTTTAAGTTTTGTGTGTTCCTTCATGGACTTTGTTAGACCTTGTAATGTTAACATATATACACGCACACACATACATATATATACGTACACACATCATATATTGAACCTGATTAGCTGATGTTTGCAGTTGATCAAAGTTGATGAAAAATGAAATTTAAAATGAAAATGAAAATGAAAATTCAAAAATCATAAATTTAAACAAACTTAACTTTTGCCTTTTATGAACCTCAGACCCATATTTCAGCTCGTTAAATAGTTTAACTATATATGCAAATTAGCTTTACTTTATTGTAGAGTTGAGTTGGAATTTTCTCATGTGATGAAAATTGAAAAACCTTGCGAATTGTGAATCACCTAAATGCTAAACTAAAAGTTAATTATAGCAAATAGTTGATTCAGGAATTGAGATTTGCAGCTCCCAATTTTGAAATTGATTACAGCTATGATCTTATCTGAACATCTATCAACTCAGAATATGCGATGAATCAGGCCAAGATCGTGTATGCTTAAAGTTTTCCATTTACAGTACATTCTAATTGGAATCTCTGCATTCAGCATTACTGAAAAACAGCTGCAAAGCTTCTCTCTCGGCATGGGGCACCAAGTGACGAATACTTGTTATCTGAATTATATGCATTGATATTTATAAACCTGATTCAGGAATTAACATGTGACTTCAAATAAGCTTGATTAGCTTATGGTTAAAGATAAACTCTCCTTAGGGTACTGATCTGGAATATATATATACAAATATATTCACAGAATGCTAATGTCGAAGAAGGAGCATAAAGATTGAGAACAGAATTATTTCTGTTAACTTACGAAAATGCACCAGAACAGATAAGGCTAACTTTTCCGTAATCGGGAATGTTCCTATCAACTCTATACAAGTGTTGAGCGTAAATCAGTTCTGTTTTTTTCTTACCCTGTACTCATTGAAAGTGCGTAGTAAAGGGTATAATGAGAGCTTGCTCAATATTTGACAAAGCAGCTATATTCGATTCGTTATATTATATATATATTCTTGATTCCAGCAAGTCAATAGTAAATCAGTTTTGATTTAATCTATATATTTAGCAGGCCTTCGGAAACCTATCCAACTAGACGCTGTCAATAATATTTTATCGATTTTCTTCCAATGCCATATAATCACAATTGTTTTCGAGGTAGAGCCCTCAAATTTCTTTTATAATATATACAGATTGCGAATATTTGAGTAATTAAAACAAAAAGTTTTAGTCTACGGATCAATATTAGAGCAAATGAAGCTTTCAATTCATTTATATTTATATTATATATTTGTTTAGGAAAACTTAGCAGAGTCTACAGGGCATCTGTTAACTGGGCACTCACGGCTATTGCACTCTCACTTGCCTTGTTTGCTCTACTGATAACCAGTAATAAAATTTGTGCCCTGATAAGGTGATAGGAATTCTTTTCTTCTCTTGTTTCTGTTTGTATACTTATATTATATGTTTATACCTATAAATATAATATTTGTTTCTATATATAAAAACAAAAGTATATTAACTAATGTTTTTTGTCCTTTCTTTTGACAAGTGCTGAATATAAAGATTTATATAATAAATTTTAAATTACTATTTAATTCTTATATATTTATTTTATATAAGATAATTCAAAATTTACAAAAATTCGTCTTCAATTTCTCACTATCAGCTCAAATCTCCTTTCAGTCAGCGAATTATGTTTCAAATATTTTGAAAAAATTTCCATATTTTCTTTGATTTGATAGGCGCTTAAATATTTATTTTTTTATATATTTTTGGAACTGTTAAAATTAAATTCAGGCTGCGAGTTCAATCTCAAAACAGTGTTAAGCTTCATTGATTTTATAATTTAATTTGTTTTACAACTGATAATCAACTATCTCAAGTTAAATGATAGTAATTTTTAAGCAATAAAACAGAAAGCAATAAACGTTATCAATTTTAGCAGGCTGTAAAAATAGCAATTTTCGTTCATTCTCATTCACATAACTAGAAATTTGACTTACATAAGATTTAACTGCTTACTCATTGAGGTTGATTAATAATTAACGTGCTGTATAACAATCAATCGATAAGAAAATTAAAGTCAGTTATTTCAATTATTGCATTTCGAATTGCGTTGACTTTTAATAACAATTTAATTTTCAATTTTCAAAGAATGAGTCCTAATGCAATAGATAACTTATAGCTTATTTGAGATTATATTTAAGTCAATTTGTATAGTCGTTCACGAACTGAAAGAGTATATTGGCTTTACGCAATGTCCGTCTTACTGTACATCCGTCTGTCCACTTGTTCGTATAAACGCAAACCGCTAAATGCTATATCTGGTATAACAGAAATACAATTATTCAAAATGCAAGAAATCCAAGATCGGAAAAATATATAGCAGATATATCTATGAATAACTGTATATGTAGTTTGACAGCTAGAAACAAATTTAAAGGAGAAAGTCATTGTCGCTTACCAAAAATCAAGTTCTTCCAAATTTTTGGAGCTAGAGCTGAAAATTCTGAGTAACCATTGAGATTTGCCTAAAACGATTTAATTAGTCTTAGACCTTGACCCTATTGTCACATTCTGCATTATTTAAATTGGTAATTGTAACTTATTTCTCATAATGAATAGCTTAATTATATGTAATAAAAGGGTTTGAGTAGACCTTGCCTGACTGGAGGATACCTCACATGCATTCATGAAATAAAGGAATAAACTTTAAATAAGAAATTTAGCTTTACTTGTGATATAATCAGTTTTGATCAAGTTTTAGCCTGAGCCAAGTTTTAATTAAAAATTATTAACATTAGTTCAAGCTTAATGTTTTTAGATTATTTTTATTTTTTTATTATTAAAGAATACTTTATTATCTTACATAGATTTGTACAAGCTTTTATAACCTTTATGTTGAGCTCTTTTAATTTCTATAAGTTATTCCTATATAATGCTAAGCTCGAGCTTAGTTCTTTTGAATATCAAATCGTATACCCTGCAATTTAAATGGAATTTTTTAACTAATATTTTGTGATCTTCGCTTACAGCTGGTCTGCAGATTGATGCCACAGACTCAACAAAGACCGAGGCAAGCGTAGCCGAAGCTGCGACAGCCGAGAAACGGATTACGTTCACATTGGCCCCCACGGAGTCCTCGCCGGAAGGCAGCCAGACGCTGACGCCGAAAAAGTTCGAGCCCATTGCCGAAGAAGAGAAGGAGGATGACAAGGATATGGACGAGGTGATATTGAGACCGCGTCTCATCGACCGCCATCCACATCTGTTGCCCAATGCGAGCGGAATTCCGACCACGCCCAAGCGGACGCTTCGCGCTGCCAAAAGCGTGCCGCACATGCATGTGGCGGGCAGCGATACGGACATATTCGCCATCACGGGCACTGGCAGCCAGATCAGCATGACGCCGGAGGTGCCCTCCATATCCTTCAGCAATCTGCCGAAGAACTACGAGGATACGCCGACCATAGAAAAGTATCGCGTATCGCAGAGTCTCTACTCCATACAGAATGCAAATGCGGCTCGTGCCTCACAGGATGACTATTCCATGCCGCGTTACTTCCGGCGATCCAATATGCTCTTAACTCAAAGCACCGAAATTCTGCCCAGCTCCACATCGCTGGCCTCCATATCAACGTCAGCGGCATCGACTTCCTCCTCCAGGAACGAGCTGCGCCGCCCCGAGCAGCCCAAGAGCAAGCGCCTCCAAATGCTGCGTGGCAATCTGCCTCCGCTGCTCATCCATTCCGTGTCCTTCAAGCGCAATCGAGAGGAAGGCAAGCAAGTTGATTAGCTCTCTACATCTAAAAATGTGACCTTATCTTGGCTTCGATATTTCTTATACTCATTGAAAATGTGGTTAAGCTGAGTGCAATATTGTGGTTAGAATGTATGCTAAAGGCCGTAGGAGGCGTGCTCGATTCCATTTGCTATATATATTACTGATCAGGATTAACAGTCAAGCTAAGCTAGATCTGTCTGCCTGTGGGTCCTTAAAATGTGTAACTCAGTTAGATTTTTCTATATCATCGATAGGTTCCTCCATTTCGTTTAAATCAATTAAAATCCATATGAAACTTTAGTAATTTATAAATATTTTGAAAGTTTCAAGAACAAGAGTTAAATGTTAAATACTAATCTTATTGAAAACCTTTTGAAATATTACCAAATTCTGAAAAAAGTCTCATTTTCGAAGAGCACGACACGTCCTTCAAGGTATTTGCTAGTCGGGCATTGCCGACTAGAGCACTTACTTGTTACTTAAAGGGAATGTGCCTTAGTATACTCCTCTGCATGTATGCATATATATATATATATATATATATATATATATATATATATATATATATATATATATATATATATATATATATATATTTATATATATATATATATTTACTATATATAATTGTGTTTATTTGCGACAGAAGTATTTCTTATGTATTTATTTAATTCTGTTCTACACAAATTATGTTGTAATATATAAATCGATATTGATGAACAAATATTTGTATTCCCTTGCAGAAAGAAGGATTTAATATCAGATAATCATATATACACTATATCTAATTTTAATATAATAGACTTAAAAATATTCGCTCGTCTGTCTGTTTTTATGCTAACTTGTAATGAAAAGTGTATATGTTATTATATATATCTTATGTTGAATGATCAAAGCTATTGAGAAATTAACACTTACAAACTCTTATATACTCTTGAACATGAACAAAATCGTATGAATATTGTGCTATTATATTTAGTTTTGAAATACCAACCACAAAATTCTGATAATACATTTTAGAAATCTTTTTAGCTATTTTAGAATATATATTATAAAAGTTGCTTTAAGTTGTTTTGCAGCTTTGTATCTAATAATTTCCGAAATATATAAAAATACTTAAAATATAAATTCTAAGTTAAATTCTATATTTTCTGGAGACATCAATTTATGTATAAAACAGTTGACTGCAAGGGTATTAAATATTCGGCACGCTGAAGTAATATTGTTTTTCTTGTTTTTTTTTTTACTTTAACTTAAATACATTTAGTTCTGTTTAAATAAATTAAGTTGTTTCGCAATGAAAATTGGTTTTCTTATAAATTCATTTACTTGGATGAGGCCTTCAGCGCACACGGATAGCAATGAATCAATTTTCAGAAGTGGGTGATGAAGCGAGGCCAGGTCATTCCTTCACTTGTGGTTTCAATGCTAATCTGCTACACTTAATTTGAGCTTATTATAAATATGAAATCATAAAATATATAACTCTGGTAGAGAGCAGAAGTCGCATAATGTGTCGAGCTACTGCGTTGATTCTGCTTAAGACTTGCATACTTCTCAGTTTATCCATAAGTTCGGCTCGCATTGAAGGTGAGTATGATAAATGTGTTATATTTTCTTTAATAAGTTGTAGAAGAGTTTATTGTATTAAGATGAAGGTGTTAGAGCTGGAGCATCACATAACTTTCTCTAATTACTAGAAACCCAAGCCTTGTTATAGCAGCTTGACTACTAAAATTTTTACTACTAGATGTATCAGCTACGATGTTTTACTAAATTATTAAACAGCAATGGCTAGCAGAACTAATTTAACAATTGATTTCTAAAGAATTTCTAAAATAAGATGATATATAGTTAGGGTCTCAGAAGGTGGAATTCCTTCCCTGCAGACAGAATTTTACAATTCTTCTTTATTGTGAATCATTAACAAAAATTGCTATTTTGCAGAACCAACAGTAAATATAACGCACACCTTCGGTATACCGAGCAGTTTTGAGCCAGATCCGGTGTTTGAGAAAATCGGATCTGAATATTACTATATAAACGGGCCACAGGCGGTCTCCTGGTACTCGGCGCTACACAATTGCCACCGAATTGGCGCTCAACTAATAAGCGTGGCGAGAATAGAGACTCTGTACGAGATTCAAAGCCATAGACAGAATACCACTTACAGGAATAAGTATTGGGTGGATCTGAACGATCTGGCGACGGAAGGTGACTATGTTTCCATATCTACCGGCCTGAAACCAACTTTCGAGCATTGGTGCGAGAACGAAGAGCCTCCAATGAGAAGCAGAACAAAAAATTGTGTCAATATTGAGCAAAATAATGCCTCCGGCCCGTGCATGAAATCAGTTTCCTGCAACGGCCTAAAGGACTATATATGTCAGTTGCATACGCCTCATACCATCTCAATCGTTGCTTTTTGAGTAATGTATGTGGTTCTTATTAAAAATTACAAAAATGTTAAAAGCTTATGTTAAAATAATAAAATATAATAGATTTTAAATATTCTCAGCTATTTTTTCTATTAAGCAGAACTTTATCTAAATAGAAGAATTTGCTGCATCATGGGAATTCCCAACTCTTACGTCTGAATTGTACTCTTAGTGAAAACAAAGAGAAAATTCTTGAGTGCACTATGCTATATGCTATAATGAAAATATATATTCAGAGACAGCCCCAATATATGCAACATTTTTATGCCTAAACACAATACTCTAGCTAGATATGTATAGCATTCCTCTGGCAGCTGTTCTATAAATCAGATAGAATAATTTTATATTGATTTCATTTATTTTTCTATTTATTTATTTAACATATATTATTAGGCTCTCTGGATTCTTACTAAGCATTCCTGCTCTAGCAATGGGAAATTAGCTTAAGCATAGCCGATTGGCCAGTGAGATAAAGGTAATATACTCAATTATATATTTTCTTAATAATATTATATTAATATTCGGCAATATACTTCTTTGACTTTGTGAACAAGTACAAACATTCACATTTAATAAAGAATTTAAATACTTTTTCGAAACGTGTATTAAATCAGCTTTTGAGCCTCATTATATAGGAATATCAACATAAGCCGCCTTGATTTATGCGCCTTAAGTTGAAACACCTGCAACTCGCAGTCGTTTACAGCACGTGCGCACATTAAATACGTTTACATATGTGCCTCTATCTCTTATTGGAACGTAATTTTAGTAAATTTGCTTAGTTTGCTGAAATGATTATAATATATTTCATATGTTTTTATAAAATGCTCTGAATATGTTGCAAAATATCAGCTCAACAATCAAACACGGGTTTTTTCCACTACCTAACCACGAGCCAATTAACAGAAGAATGCATTACATTGTTATTCAGAAATATGTTAATAACATAACGTGAATATTGAAATGTTAAGTTTACTTAATTCAATATTTTCTTTGGCTCCTTTCCTTATATATTTAGAGTATAATTTTATATTATTTTCAAGTGAAAATCCATCTTTCGAACCAACGGACTGTACTTATTTGTTATGTATGACTGACTTCTCATTTTGCAACTATTACATATTAGAATTTACATACATTCTGCTTTTTTTTGCATTTGTTAGCTACCATTGTTGCTATCAGCTTTCACATCTTACAATCAGCTTGTCTAGCCCTTGAGTAATTTAAGGGCTAGACATTCATCGCCCAGTATGAATGTCGCTTCAGTCAAAAATTTAACACCTTTAGACGGCTTACATAATTTAAACTCAATGTATTTTTTATAAAATTTAATATTGTATACGCCTATATAAATTTGTTGAAAAATAAATGTAAAAAATAATAACTCTCAAGTTTAAAGAATTTTTTTAAGACTTCACTCACTAAAATTTTTAATTCAATATATAAACATGTAGTAAATGTTGTTAAAATTATATTTATATTTTTTTTTTTCAATTGAAAAGTGAGGAAGAATATATTTACTTTAAGATTCCTTTTTAAATCATTAAGAAAATAATAATTTCTATGTATATATACCCAAGAGTTAAAAACAAGAAAGATGACTTTCTAATGCAGTACTAGAGATTCTAGAATCTTCAATACGATAGCCCACTCACAGATATATATAGACATAAAAAGATATTGGACCAGTAAGGGTATTTCGTAGCTGCGCACTACACTTCAAAAGCGCTTAATAGATTCGACATGTAAACTAAGTTTATTCAACATTTTTATCTGTAGCAAAGTTGCCATTTTGCAAGGCAGCCTTCTTAATTTATGCCCAATTGTGTGTTTAGTTCATGCTACACTAGATTATAATGAAATTGTGGAACTTTCTTTATTTGCTGTTAATTATTAGGCACCTGAACTCATGCCTGGGTACCTGCAACAAATGAAAGCGCAATTATCTGCAAATCGTGATTCTAATTTATAAACTGACCCAAATGCTCAGGTCTGGCCCGGTCTGTTTTTTTTTGTTTGGTTTTGTGCGGTGCCTTTTGTCGTCAAACGGAATCTATTAAAATAAATATATTCGCGTGAACCTCATGTCGAAAGGTACATACATACATATGGACATACATATATGTATGCATGCACATAAAATTAAGAATTTAGAATTAAATGAACGAAATGTAATTTGCAATTACAAAAGTGTAATCAAAATTGTATCGAGTTTAACATAATCGATTATGCTATAAATTTAAAAGGAATATTTTCTGAATATTAACTTATTTCTTAACTATTGCAATTTTGTGCACACATGTGTCCTGCGCGAAGTGACCAGCATAAAATATTATCACAATAAATTTGTATTTATAGTAAAATTTAAATTATTTGCCTTTTGGTATAGAACTTTGATCAACGGCTTGTGACGCAAGTGTTTGTGTTTCGCGTGAATTTGCATCACAGCACCACTAGCCTGAGGTTCAACTATTAAACCTCTGACGTAGACGACAAGCTTCTATTCAAACTCACCTTTAAGTAACCGTGAAAAGCCAGATTCGCAGCTGATCGTGCTTCTATGAGCTCTTATCAGCTACGGGCTGCATCCCCAAGGGCAACTGGTCGTATACGTAATTTCAACCAAATCTATATGCTGCCATATTTTATAGCAGCTGTTACAGTGGCGCCTATCCAAGAATGTTAACATAAGCATAAAGTCTATCTATATATTTGCCTATGCTCCTGCTGGCTGCATTGCCAAGGTCAACTGGTCGTATGGGTAATTTCAATTTAATATGCATGCAAATGTGATAGTTGAAATGTGAAATATTCCTGATAAACATCAGCTGTGTAGCCACACGCCGTCAGCTGATAATGAGAATAAAAGAATTGTCATATACATAAGTATATATATATATAATATGCAGATCATATTTGCAAGAGAAACTGGGCGTATGCGTGATATTCCAATCACTTACAGATATACAAATGTGTCTAGCATAAGCAGAATTCTATAATAAACATTAACTAAATACATGTGTCTTTATATGTTTTGTATTTGTCTATTTTCAGCAGTTGCGACAGGTCGTATACGTGATTTCAATTAAATATATATTCTAGCTACGACAGCTTTGGCTGTCGCCGAGCCTTATGAACATATGTTTTCAGGCCAAACAGGCTGCATCCCCAAGGGCAACAGCTCGTATGCGTGATTTCAATCAATTATGCAGGCAAATGTGATGTGATATCAGCTGTAGCAGTAGCCGAAATACAAAATATAAATATAAAATGTTTAGCAGCACGCCGTCAGCCGATAATGCGAATAAACTATATATATACACAAAAAACAAAATATATATGAAGCATACAGACATATATATATGTATGTATAGCTCTGCGCGTGACACACACTTTTGCTTGGAGTAAATTTCCGTAGGTCCAGTTCGGTGTCAGCGCCAGCCTGACTAACCAATCGCCGCGTTATCAGTTATCACCAATAGCCACTGGCACGCGGCTCACTAGAGCTAATCACAGTGCTCTCATGTGTCCGCAACGGCAAATAGTCGTGTGTCGTGCTAGATGTCCGACGGTGCACGGTTATCGCCCAAACAAGGTCAAGGCTCACTAGAAGCAATCCTCGTCTGCTGTTGCCAGCGCAATCAATAGAAGCAGCACGCGTCTTTGTTTTGGTCTGATGATGTTTTGCTTTCGATACCCTGTAAAGCCAATGAAAAGGCGGGTAGAATGCACATCATATTATTTCCGGCTACCCCAATTTCCTACTCTCAAAAGGTTTGCGAACTGGAGACAGTCAAACTTAACAGAATCACTCAGATCTTATAGACATATTTAATGGGCTTCAGGCAGCTGTAGCCTGCAGGTTAGCTTAAGACTGAATTAGGTTGAGCTGTTGGCTCTTAGCTATCTACAGGGTATCTACTGGTGAGACACTCTCGCAACTATTCTCGCCTATTATTTATAGCTCATAATTTGTCGTTGTTACTGTGGCCATGCAGACGTACTCACAGTTGATACGGAACTTGTTCACCTGTTATATAGCGAATACACTCTTATCTTGGGCTTCACATTGGCGCCTAACAACTTACTCGAAATATATTTTGGATTCGTATGCGTATGTTAAATTGGAAGAGAATTTCTGTTTTAAGTTTCACTTAGGCATGCAGCAATCCAGTCTCCTTCGCACTGCTCCAACGTTGGCCTAGACTATGTGATAATGCCTGAACAGAACCGTATATACCTGAAGGTTGGTGCAGCTGTGCGAATGGTAAGAGCTTAGCTGGTTGCTAGGCCCAGCATCAACAACAAACTGTCTATTTTCAAGATCGTTATCATGCCATCTGAATGCAAGCACAGCAGAAAACGTGCTGCGGGATATATGGAATGGATTGTGGCTTAACAGAGTTGCGACATTTGTCAAGCTTAATAATGATGCTGATGAAGATGATGATAATAATTGTAGACCAAAGTCCCTCCACAAGAACTGTGAATTGTGAACTCAAGGTGAACGAATCTTTGCCATAAAATATTCTATTATTATTGTTTTTCTTTTATTTTTTTCATCTTACGCAGGCAAACTTTGAAATCCGATTTACGTAAAATACTTTCAATGTTTTTGTATGCTTGACGTAGTTTTCAAATAAATGGTAATCTTTACTTTTATAAAAATTTATTTGTATTTATTTATTCCACTTCTTCAGCGGAGAGTCTAATAATAGGCTTTAAAAAATATTAAGTTTATTAAATATATTCATGTTGATACTATTTCTGAGCTTGGGATGTAGTTGAAGCGTTAAAGTTTGATTTCGTTTGAAATTTGAAATAGATCATGATAGTGCTAGGGATACTTAACTGTGTGTGTTATATGATATCAATATTGCTGGATTGCTCACACTTCATCATAGCTAAAAGTCACGGATACAGAATAATGTGGACTGTTAGCACTTTGTGGTCCAGATTGAACAACGAAATTCTTAGGTTCAATGTGTTTTTTTTGGCCATGTATCTTAAGATATATTGTTTCATCATTAAATGTTAAATAAAACCAACAATAAAGTCTTACAATTAGACATAAAATTCTTTGATTTTGTCACATATGCCTCTGCAGACTGCCTAAGCCTGGATCATACAATAATAAAAGTTATCTTATTAATAGTTATTTATATATTAATATAACATTGAGACTAGTCAAAAGGAAACATCTAACAACTTTTGCATATGAGTTCTCAACTACAAAGGACTGTCATTTAAATATAAATATAAAGTTGAGATAATTCAAAAATATGCCACAAATCATGTTGCAATCACTCTCAGTAGACATTGACAAAATATATTCAAGTACAGCTTACGCAAACAATTGCTCAGCACATGGTAGGGACACATAGGGAAAGTAAATTTTAGGAATTTCAAGATATACATTTTGATACAAACATAGTTTCGAATGGAAATTAATACCACGTCTTTGCTGCCGTACGTGCTGGATCTGCTGAGCCGTCAGCCGAATCTGTGTGAGTATCGCCAAACCTAGCTTTGGCTGGGCAACGACACTAACTGGAGCAGATGCTGTTTACACAGGCACATCCGTGGATGCGCTGTGTGAGATGATACAGGACGTGGTAATGGACGATGTGATTAGTCCGTTTGGCTCACTCAAGCGGGCTGTGGAGTTTTCAGTGGAGCTTGGTACGAACCTTGGTTTACTCTTAGTGAGCGATAAGCGAATACGCATGCCCTTCAACTTGCGTGCGAAAAAAGACGCAATATCGAACCAAGTTGCAAGCGGAGCTACGCACGTGGCGGAGCACGAAAGACAGGTGATCAAAAGCCTAGCCAAGACAGTGAGTATAGACGGCGAGTTAATTGAGCTGCGACGGATTCTACAGTTTCAGCTCTTCTCCCAGTTGAAGGATCCTAGAAATGGTGTTCTCAAACCCAAGAACAATGTCACAAGGCGACCAAAAATTATTAGCAATCATTTAGCTACTCGTTCAAAAGCCAGCAGAAAGCGCAAACGAACCAAGAAGCAGCTCTATCGCCAAGCCTGCAGGTCTTCCGGCCCGTATTAAAGTTTTACATTTATCTGTCGATTTGTTTTTTTGGCATTGCTGTATTAAAGTGGGTCAACATGCGTTGGCAAAGCTACTGGCACACACACTTGGACTAATTAACGGGGCATGGGCATAAACACGAGCACGGGTATTGACACTGGTGTGCTAGTATACACTGCTAGTGTACTGATGTAAGCGCACCTGTCCTGCTTCTCCTGTTGTCTGTGCGTCGCAATTTCTGTTTGAATTTCCGAACATTTTAGCATAAAAATGAATTATTCAGTGGTCGGCGATCGCGGCTTGGTCGCAATTGAATCGCACTCTTTGTGTCAATTCTAGAGCTTTGAACGGATAGACGAAATTAGTATTGGCTTAGTATTAGCTATGGATATGGGCGATTATGTATGCGACTTTAGAACTCCTCCGTTCCTCCCCCCCAAAACCGAATGCTTAAAAAGAGTGTCTGCAGTGCGCGACGCGTTCAGTGTGCATTCGGATCTAGTCGGAACGATATCAAGCCGAGACTAAAAGGATATACAACATCAACACTAAAATTTATCCAGTAGCCCAAACTCTAAAGAAAACAAATCCTTAAAGGATACACGGTGCCATATATAAGCTACTAGATAAAGTGAGTGACAGTGAAAATATCTAGTCAAACCTTCCCAATATCTTTGTGTGTGTGTTAAGAACAAGGCTTCCATTTGTTACTGCCGTTGATATTTGTTCGTGATGTGGACATTCCATTCAAATGCCTAAATCTACATTTACATATCAAATGTGTCAAAGTGAAGAATTTCAATTGATTTTTACGCCGGGGGCAATGGCCTTTCAAAAACTAATCTTGAATTCCATCGAATAATATGATGTGTCAATGTGTTTAATTAAAAAAGAGAAGAGACAACATGTGAACTAAGTGGATCTTACAACTAAAAACTGATTATTATTTATAAATGTCAGACAAATTTCTGAAATTTGTATAACGAAACTCATTTGTTCATATCCTTTTAAACTAAAGTAATGAAGTTTAAGCTCTTGCAGACCTAGGAATGTCTGACTAACCTATAAAACTGTACAACAAATTTGCAACTTGACACAGCGTGATCCTAAGCACAGCATAATCTAATAATATATCATAGATAAATTTACAAAAATTTAATTATTCTATTTTGAAACATGAAAGCAACAGCATAATGATCTTGACATATGAATAATATCCCATATCCTTAAACTCCCTGAAGTCTCAAAAGTTGAATTCTTACCTGTTCGGTTTTAACTTATATATAATGTCTCAATATCAAGCTATACATGGATATCTCTTTACTTATTTTACAATCCACATTTACAAAAATTAAATTTTCTTTTATGGGTTTTTCTGAGCTTTTTCATAATACAAAAGTTATTTTTTTTTAAGTTTGAATTTTATTTAATTTTCTAAGAATTTAGGTTTTTTTTTGTATTTCAATTTATGTGGGAGATTTTTATTTAAGTCAGCAAAACGTTCACAGGTTTAATGCATGCCTAATCAATTTTGTAACAGCAATACGAAATATTTGATGAACTTTGTTTCTTTTAGAGCACTGACCTGTACTAAATATCATACTTTGAATTCAACTCTAAAATATCTTGATTTTACAGACAGATCTCGTTGAACTCAGCTCAACAAACTAAGCAGAAATATATAGTTATTATTTTTAATTATAATAGTCGATGACAGCTTCTGTTTGTTTAATAAATAAATAAATAAATAAAAATAAATAAGCAACAATAAATAAAATAAACAACAACAGGAAATGAGCGCTATTATAACAACAATTATATACAAATATTTTCTTTACTAAGAGAGTTCAACTGATCAAGTGATTGCCTTTATTCTAAAAGCAAAGTTATTCGTTATATCGTTGTGTATTTATATATTAAAGGAGCACATTTTATATTGAGCTAAAAAACCGTTAAACTAATCAGTATTGTAAAATAATTCCTAATTAGCAAGAAATTTGTTTTACGAATGGAATTATTTGAGTGGAAGAGTTTACCCGACTGCATCGATGATTTCTAAATATACTCTACAATTGTAAATACATGCATATTAAACCTTCTGAGATTCTGAATTGCTGAATTCAGAGATTTTGCATAATTTGTGCTTTTAACGATCTTCAACTGTAGACTAATATATTCAAGATAAATTCAAGATGAATAATATATTACATTATGCAATATACAGATTAAGCCGATACCAAGACACTGAACCAAAAAAATAAAATGGGTAGCAAGAAAAGAGTGGAACAATCGACAGCACAAAGCAATGGAGCTGCCGACACAGTGGGTGATGTTGTCATATCGGGACTGTCGGGCAAATTTCCGGAGAGCAGCAATGTTGAGGAGTTCAAACAGAACTTACTTAACGGCATTGATATGGTTACAGACGATCCGCGCCGCTGGGAGGCAGGTAAGCAATACATAACTATCTCGGCCTGGATTTCGCTTCGATTCTTATAAGTGCATATAACCCGGGGCAGGCATATTTGGGTTGCCAGAGCGAATGGCCAAAATGAGAGACGAGGATTTGGAAAAATTCGATGACAAATTTTTTAGCGTCCACCAGAAGCAGGCTGAACTAATGGATCCGTGCATGCGAATGCTGTTGGAGCTGACACACGAGGCCATCATTGATGCGGGCATCAATCCATCGGAGCTACGCGGCACTCGCACCGGCGTCTACATAGGTCTATCCTTTGTCGAGACGGAGCACGAGATACCCAACATGGAGCCGAGCAGCATCAACGGATACTGCCTGACAGGCTGCGCCCGTGCCATGTTTGCCAACCGCATATCCTATACCTTCGACTTCAAGGGTCCCAGCTTCATTGTCGACACTGCCTGCTCCAGTTCCCTTGTGGCCCTGTCGCACGCCTATACGGACATGCGCGCTGGCCGCTGCGATTACGCTTTGGTCGCTGGCGTCAATCTTATACTGAAGCCCATTTTCGCGTTGCAGTTTCTGCGTCTAGGCATCGTTAGCCAGGATGGCGCCTGCAAGACTTTCGATGCGGCCGCAAATGGATACGCTCGAGCCGACACTTGCGCCGTGGTGTTCTTGCAACGCAGTGAGCAGGCCAAGCGCGTCTACGCATCCATTCTAAATGTGCGCACCAATACGGATGGCTTCAAGGAGCAGGGCGTCACCTTTCCGGACGGTCGCATGCAACATCAGTTGCTCAAAGAGACTTACAGCGAAATCGGTCTCAATCCCGACGAGGTGGTCTATGTCGAAGCTCATGGCAGTGGTACTCCCGTGGGGGATGATCAGGAGGCAAATATGCTAAGCAACTTCTTTTGTCATCCTGCGCGTCCCAGTCCCCTGCTCATTGGCTCCGTCAAATCCAATATGGGCCACGCTGAGCCCGCCTCAGGGGTAAGTGCTCTGGCCAAGATGATCATTGCCATGGAAGAGGGTGTTATACCTAAGAATTTGCACTATCATACGCCAAATCCCGCCGTACCAGCTCTAGTCGAGGGGCGACTCAAAGTTACGGACCGGAATCTACCCTGGAAGGGTGGCATTGTGGGTCTCAATTCGTTTGGCTTTGGTGGCGCCAACGCTCACGTAATTCTCAAGTCACATGAGAAGAAAAAAAAGCTCAGCACCAGGCCTAAGGATCCTTTGTTAAAGCTCGTGACCTGCTCTGGACGCACCGAACAGGCAGTGCAGCAGCTTTTAGAGGCAGCCGCGAAGCATCGCAACGACGATGAATTCCTGGCGCTGATCAATGACATTCATTCGCAGCCCATTCCACTGCATCCTTATCGCGGTTTCTCTGTGCTCGGCCCAGCCGGCGTCCTCAAACAGGACGTTCTGCTCTATGAGGAGGAACAGCGACCCATTTGGTTTGTCTACGCTGGCATGGGCAGCCAGTGGGCCAGCATGGCCAAGGATCTAATGCAAATAGAGGTCTTCAACAAATCCATACAACATTGCGCCGAGGTGAGTGAAGTAAAAACAACTTGCAAATATTTCATTATTATGTAGAATGTAGTTTCAATTAATACAAGAGATAAGCACTGAGAAACACTTGACTTTACACAATTTGTGCGCTTATTATATACTATATTATTATATTATATTATTATATTATATTATTATACACTCTGAACCCATTGAAAATGGGAATGTTTTTGTAAAAGTGTATGTCACAGGCAGAAGGAGCCGTGGCAGACCAAAAAAGCATACATATTCTTAGCCAGTATGACAAGCTGAGCCAGCTCCGTCCATCGGGCCGTCCAGCCGTCCATCCATCTATCCATCCGTCCATCCATCCGTCCATCTATCCATCCGTCCATCCATCCATCTATCCATCCGTCCATCCATCCGTCCATCCATTCATCCGTTCGTCCGTCTGTCCATCCATCTATCCGTCCAGCCGTCCATCCATCTATCCATCCGTCCATCCATCCGTCCATCTATCCATCCGTCCATCCATCCATCTATCCATCCGTCCATCCATCCGTCCATCCATTCATCCGTTCGTCCGTCTGTCCATCCATCTATCCGTCCATCCATCCATCGGTCCATCCATCCTTCGGTCCATCCGTCCATCCATCCATCCATCCATTCATCCATCCGTCCGAATACGTAAACCACAAAAGATTTGAAACTTGGAATCTCTGCTTGTGTATTCCATACGCACAAAAGATTAACATTTTTCCGATAACCGACTTTCTAATTACCGATAAATATCGATTTATTGGCTTCATTTCTTAAGCGTAACATGAATACCATAGTTATTGGAGACCTCCGATTTACTGTGTCAGTTTCTGTAATGAATAAAAAGATGTATGTATAAAAGAAGTGTATAATGATTGGAATATCAGCTTTAGAATATCAGGTTCAGGGTATCTTCCAGTCGCGCCGTCTCGACTAGAGCACTGCTGTTTTCTTATATTCTTTTAAGTATGGAATGAATAATTAATATATTATCTATTGTCACAAATCGACCCTGTAGGTGCTGAAACATATGGACTTTGACCTGATTGAAGTTCTCACACGCTCGACTGAAAGGACATTTGACAACATGCTCTACTCCTTCGTATCGATCGCTGCCGTTCAAGTGGCCTTGACGGACTTACTCAGGACGCTGAATATAAAGCCGGATGGCATCATTGGACACTCGGCAGGTGAGCTGGGCGCCGCCTATATGGATGGCTGCCTGACAGCCGAACAGACTGTATTAGCAGCTTATTGGCGTGGCAAAAGCGTCTTGGACACCCCGGGACTGCCGAAAGGCAAGATGGCAGCCGTAGGACTGAGTTGGGAAGAAATCAATAAGCATCTGCCATCGGACTGTTGCGCCGTGTGCCACAACAGCGAGGACAATTGCACGGTGTCTGGACCCGTTGACTCCATGGATGCAGCTATTCAGAAGTTGCACAATGCGGGCATCTTTGTGAGAGCTGTGGAGTCCGGCGGCTATGCTTTTCATAGCAAGTACATTGCGGATGCTGCCCCAATGCTGCGCAAGAACTTGGAACGCTTGATCACTGAGCCTAAGCAGCGCTCCAAGCGTTGGCTGAGCACCAGTGTTCTGGAGCGGGACTGGGAAACACCTGCCAGCCGCCTGGCCTCGGCAGCATACTTCATTAATAATCTAATTTCACCTGTGCTGTTCTATGAAGCTATTTGCCATATACCCGAGAACGCATTGATTGTGGAAATCGCGCCGCACGGACTCTTCCGTTCGATACTGCGGGCGCTGGGACCGAAAATAAGTTATGTGAGCCTTATGCAACGAGGTCACGCGAACAATGCCGAGTTCCTAATGACCCAGCTTGGTCAGCTCTATGCAGCTGGTGGTCAGCCACAACTGCTGAGAATGTCTCCATCACGAGCAATCAGCTATCCCGTGTCTCGAGGCACTCCCATGCTCAGCTCCCTAATAGGTTGGGATCACACGCAGAAATGGAGCTATCCCAAGTTTCAGGGAGGCCGTCAGTCTAACCAGCTCAGCATTGAACTTGATCTTAGTAAGGAGGAGCACGCCTTCCTGGCTGGGCATACAATTGATGGTCGCATACTCTATCCTGCTACAGGGTACTTAACACTGGCTTGGATGATGTTAGCCCAACAGCAGGGCTGTGACTTCCAACGCACGCCCGTCGTCTTTGAGGATATAGTTTTTCATCGTGCTACCATCCTTGGCCTGGAGGAGAGCGCAGCGATCAGATTGGCAGTAAACTACTTCCAAGGCAGCAGCACATTCGAGATATGTGAGGGTAGCAGCTTGGTGGCATCGGGCAAGATTCGACTCGTTGCCAATGCTCAAGAGTTGCTGCTAAACCTGCCAGCGCTGCCAGGCAGCGCAGGGATAGCTAAGCTCTGCACTAAGGATGTCTACAAGGAATTGCGACTGCGTGGCTATGACTACAGTGGCGTCTTCCAGGGTATTCTTGACCTCGACAATTCGGGAGTTGTCGGCCGCCTGCAGTGGGTGGATAATTGGATAAGTTTCATGGACACCATGTTGCAGTTTCGCATACTCAGCAACAACACGCGAGAGTTGTACGTGCCAACTGGCATCGAACGTGTTGTCATCGATCCGATCAAGCACTTGGAGCTAGTCAAACAGCATCAACAACGGCTTCCGGCTTACTGGCATCGCAACTTCTCAGTTGTTAAGTGTGGCGGTGTTGAGGTACACAAAATTAAGACAGCACAGACACAACGTCGCTCAGGCAGCCAGAGTGCACCTGTGCTAGAGCGCTACAGCTTCATTCCAAATGTGCAGCTCATCGATCCACGCGGAGATCAGCAAAACCCGAGTATCCATGCTCTCACCGTAGCAATGCAGCTGATCATAGAGAACAGTGGAGGCGCAATAAAAATCAAGGGCGTAGAGGTGGCTGGCAGTCGCACAGACAGTCTAAATGCTGCCAAGCTGCTGGAGCTCATTGAACGTGAGCCAATCCTAGTCGCTGACATAGCCGTAGCCACAAGCAGCAACAACGAGTCAGCCTTGAGCGATCTACTACAAAGCTCTGGGGTGCGCGTAATTGTCGCAGATCTTGCCAAGGCTGCTGTGGAACGCCAGTGCGACTTCCTGCATGCTGTAGACTTACTTAGCACAGGAGAGCTTCAGCTTCAACACTCCATTGAGACTATTAAAGAGACTGGATTTCTTCTATTGGAGGAGAGTGTTAGCGCTTACAAGGCAAGTGGACAGGCTCTGCTAAAGCGTTTACAGCTATTGCCTGTCTTGGAGCAGATCTACGAAAGCGATCGCATGTTGATCCTGGCTAGAAAAGTAGTCGAAACGAGTTTCGAAACGTCGCCAGTTGTGCGCGTCTCAAACGACAACTTCAAGTGGATCGCTGATCTGAAAGCCGCGCTAAGTAAATCACAATCGGAACAGTCTAACGTCTATGTAGTAGCACAAGGAGAACCGCGTACTGGCGCTTTGGGCTTTATAAACTGCCTAAAACGAGAACAGATTGGCTACCGCATTCGCCTATATTTACTGCAAGACCCTGAATCACCAATATTCTCTCTGTTGGATCCGTTCTTTGCCGATCAAATTGCCAAAGACTTGTCCATCAACGTGTACCGAAACCGTGGTTGGGGCACCTACAGGCATTTGCCTCTGAATTCACATCAACCACTCCTAACTGTGGAACAAGCTTATGTCAATACACTGGTCAAGGGAGATCTGTCTTCATTAAAATGGATCGAAAGCCCTCGCAGCGCAAATGTGAACCTTGACAAATGGGAACCCTGCACAGTGTACTTCGCTCCCCTGAACTTCCGTGACGTCATGCTGGCATCCGGAAAGCTTGGTGTAGATGCCTTACCAGCCGATCTGGCTCATCAGGACTGCGTGTTGGGTCTCGAGTTCGCTGGGCGCGATTCACGCGGCCGTCGCATCATGGCGATGGTGACTGCCAAGTCCCTGGCCACAAACTGTTTGGCCAATAAGAATCTTCTTTGGGATGTACCCGACAACTGGACCATGGAAGAAGCCTCTACAGTGCCCTGCGTTTACTCTACTGTTTACTATGCCCTGGTCGTGCGAGGACACATGAAGCAGGGTGAGCGCATCCTTATCCATGCGGGGTCTGGCGGAGTTGGCCAGGCTGCCATTTCTGTGGCCTTACACCATGGCCTGACTGTTTTTACGACAGTGGGCAGCAAGGAAAAACGCGAGTTTCTGCTGAAGCGCTTCCCTAAGCTACAGGCGCGAAATATCGGAAACTCACGTGACACATCATTTGAGCAAATGATAATGAATGAAACGAAAGGAGAAGGTGTTGAATTGATCCTCAATTCTCTGTCTGAGGAGAAGCTACAAGCTTCAATCCGCTGCTTGGCTCTCAATGGACGCTTCTTGGAGATTGGCAAATTCGATCTGAGCAACAACAGCCCATTGGGTATGTCTGTCTTCTTGAAGAACACTTCCTTCCATGGAATTCTGCTTGACAGTGTGATGGAAGGCGAGGAGGAAATGCAGAAGCAAGTCGTATCGCTTGTGTCTGAGGGCATTCGAAACGGTGCTGTCCTGCCACTACCTACGACTGTCTACACTGATCAGGAGATCGAAAAGGCCTTTCGCTTCATGGCATCGGGCAAGCACATTGGCAAGGTCGTCATTAAAATACGTAACGAGGAGCAGCAGTCGATGCTGCCCAAGCAGCGACTTACCAAAGCCATACCCCGTACGTACATGCATCCGGAGAAGAGTTACATTGTCGTAGGCGGCTTAGGCGGCTTTGGTTTAGAGCTAACGAACTGGCTGGTGACTCGAGGCGCACGCTATATTGTCTTGAATTCGCACTCGGGGCTAAGAACTGGCTACCAATCGCTGATGATCCGCCGTTGGCATGAGCGTGGTGTTCGCGTAGTCGTTGATATTAACGATGTCACCACGGCGGTGGGCTGTGCGAAGATGCTAGAGAGTAGCAATAAGCTGGCCCTGGTCGGAGGCATCTTTAATCTAGCCGCAGTACTAAGAGATGGAATTTTTGAAGAGCAAACTGTGAAAAACTTTGAGGTAGCGACAGCGCCAAAAATACTAGCCACGATGCATCTAGACCAATGCTCGCGCAGCATGTGCCCAGCACTGGAGCACTTTATTTGCTTTTCAAGTCTGGCCGCGGGCCGTGGCAATCCTGGGCAGACAAATTATGGCCTCGCAAACTCATCCATGGAACGCATCTGCGAGCTACGCCAGGCCGAGGGTTATCCCGGCATTGCCATACAATGGGGCGCCATAGGAGACACAGGCCTCATCATAGAGCATATGGGCAACAATGATACTGTGGTTGGCGGGACCCTGCCTCAGCGCATGAGCAGCTGTCTGCAGACCTTAGATACATTCATGCAGCAACCGCACGCTGTACTAGCATCCATGGTATTGGCTGAAAAGCGCAAAACGGAGCAATCGAATCGCCAGAGCCTCATAGCAACCATCGCAAACATAATGGGTCTGCGGGACGTGAATTCCATACAGGACAAGACAACACTTTTCGATCTGGGCATGGACTCGCTCATGAGCACCGAAATCAAACAGACACTGGAAAGGAACTTCGATCTAGTCTTGTCAGCCCAAGAAATTCGTCAGCTAACCTTCGCTGCACTGAAGCAAATTGATGGTCGGGAGCCACAGCCGACGGCCTCGAAGCCCGACACAGTTGCAGCAGCGCGGACAAATTCTGGTGCCAAGAAGACGGCGCAGACGACCATTGCTCAAACCGATGAAACTCGCAAGGTATTCGCCAAGGAAGTATTACCACAGGATGTGCTTGTGCGTCTGCAATCCAAAGCGAAGAAGTCCGGCAACGAGCCAGCTGTGTTCTTCCTTGCGCCCATTGAGGGATTTACCATTGCCATCGAAGCACTGGCCGCCTCACTCACCTGCCCAGCCTACGGTCTGCAGTGCACGGAGCAAGTGCCATTAGACTCAATTGAAGCGTGCGCCGCCTACTACTTACAGCAGATACAAAAACTCCAACCACGCGGACCCTACAACATTGTGGGCTACTCATTCGGCTGCCTTCTCGCACATGCCATTGGCGTTGCGCTCGAACAACGTCGGTTTGGTGTTAAGGTCATCATGCTGGACGGAGCTCCCACCATGGCCAGTGGCTACGTGCAGGAGGCCAAGAAGCAAACCGATGATCTGAACCGCCAGCAGTCTATGACGCTGGCTTACTTTGGTGCTTTGCTTGCAGACGTGGATTACAACCAGGTAGCTATGATCTGGAGAGACTGAAAATATTCTGCTAATACTCAAATTTGTCTGCAGTTGCTCCAAGTTCTGGAAGGCGTCGAGACATGGACACTTAAACTGGACAAACTTGCAGATACCCTATCACCGCATACTCAACAAACCAAGGACGTGGTAAGTCGACTAAAGACGAAAGTGCCAATAATTTGAGCAAATTTAAAACTTAGAAAACAATATTAATTGTTATAACTGTGGGTGGTTTCCTGTTTAACTATTCAGCTTTAAACTTTACTTACGTAGATACTTAAGCAATGCTTGAGATCCAATCACATCCAGGCTCAAGTCTTTTACCTAAAATTGATTTGAAATTGTAAATTTAGACGTTAGAAAATGATTACAGAAAAAGAATAGTCAACAATTAAGTAGGATCAGATGTCTTTATTTATTTTGCATTGTTTTTTTTTTTTCATTCAGATCAAGAAAGCTGCCTGCATGTTTAAGCAAAAGCTTCTTCTGTCCGAGAGCTACAAGGGCGCAAAGCAGCTAAACAGCGATGTGGTGCTGATAAAATCGGCGGAGCATAATGCAATCATGTCTCAGGATGACTACGGTCTCAAGGAGGTAATCAACTATACGTAAATACATTCAATTTATAAATATCTAATCCTCGCGTAATTTGTAGATTTGCAGCGCTCAAATCGATATGCATGTAGTGGCAGGAACCCATCGAACCTTCCTCAAGGAGGCACAAACGTTACAAATTATCGAAAAGGTTTTGAGCAAAGAATCGCAGTAGTTCCACGATTTTATATGTTAATAATAAGTTTACTGTATAATATATGCAAATACATAATAAATAGGCAAATTTTTTGTATTAAATTCCAGTTTTGTTTATTTACTTTGATGAATCAATCTTCCGTCTGACTTTGTGTGACCTAATGAAATTTAAAACAAAAAATTCGAACTGATAAGAAATGTGATCACACTATATAATACATATATACATATAGACATGCGTGTATATAAATAATGTATTATGAACGAACTCGTCAGAACGTTGAAGTCGGGCGCAACCGACTGCATGATACTCGCTCACGATCACATTTCTTATATATATATATATATTCCAAATCTATATAAATTCCAAATTCCAAGTCTCTAGCTTCTATAGAGTCTGATCAAATATTCTTTGTTTCCAACGATATATCATATTTCCACTCCGTTGGTAGATTTTGTTGTTTTTGTTCAATCCGGAGGGCTGATAACAGCAATTTAACCGTTATATTTTCAAATTTTAGATCTACATATATACAAGATGCGTAGATATATATAGTACTTATTTTTGTCCTGGGTGTTCTCAGTACGAGCATAAATTTTAAGTTTCAAGTTTCCAGATTCAATATCGCCCTACAAAAATACCGTTATGTCTCAAAAGATAAAGTATTTTCTAATTAGCCTCGGCTCCTCAGCTCCAGGCGCATCATAACTGATATCTCGCTTCAATAATAAAGAATTTAATACAGAAAAGCGAACGGGTTGCAAGACGGACTTTGCACAAAACCAATATACTCTTTACTCTTCGTAAATGTATGTATTAAATATTTTATCAGTTCACCTATCTAAAAAAACACATACCCATACATGCATACATATAATTTGATATTATTCTGTTAACAGCTGACAAATTTTCATATCAGATTAAGCAGAATTTTAAAACAAAAAGTGGTGCGATTTCGATGTCAGCAGACCTTCAATTAACGCATATTAACGAGTCTAATACATGCACATATGTAAACAAATTTGAAAACATAACATCGCATAGCATGTTATGTAGAGCTCGCAGTCGCTGTTAAGTCTGCAGCAACAACAGCTTAATAGCATAACAGACTGAAAGGTTAACAGAGAGCAAAGAGCTTTCAGTGCTTATCTTGCTTGTTGCTGCTGCTAGCTCTCTTGCTCTCACGGCGCTAAGACAAGCTTTTGCGGCATCGAGACCAGACGCTGTAGTCGTATAAAAGCCACCGCTCACCTGATGCCGCGACTATTCGTTCACATTTCGTCGTTAGGTCGCGCCAGGAATTGCGGTAGTCTTCATTTGAATAGAAGTCGATTCGCCTTTACCAAGTGTGTTTTACATCAACTGCGCGTAGCAAAGTGATTAACCGATTTCGCTTCGAATAATAAAATAAATTTATTTAAAACACCTAGCTGTTTCACCTAGTGCTAAAAAGTGACAATTTGCAAGCCAAAACAACTGTGTTTATTTGGCTAACATCTAAACGGTCGATTTGTAACACACAGGAACTAACTGTCCAAATACAAAACTTTTAACCAATTCGCTTGGCATTCACATCGCCCGGGCAAGTGGTTGCTGCTGTCTCAGAAAACAGCTGTCGAGGAATCGCCTGATTTTTAGGTATGTATTCTGCACTGCACAAGCATACTATGTTCATGTACACACATACACATGCAAGGCTGTTTACTGGTGTGCCTGTGAGCGTGTGTGAAATTAGCTCTGCAAGAAAGGAGAAAGAGAGAGAATATTAAATAAAAAACTTCATCAACTATCTTTAACTTTCTCGACGTTGGCATTCAGTTCAAATTTAAGATCAACACAAACGCAAATGTTAGAATTCTTAACAATGGAATCTCAGAGTTTTAATTAGCAGTATAACTATAAAGTGACACAATCCGGTCCAAATCGTTTTAAACTTTTAACTTTAATCATTTATCACCTGTCATGTAATATTTGCCCTTTCAGACTTTTCTGGGCTTGTTAGCAAATTCTAGTACGCAGGCGAATTTAGGGGTTGCCAACACACCAGCCTAATATAAACATGCGTATATATGTATATACATACATATATGTATGTATGTATATGTGCGTATGTCAGGTTACATAGTATATGCAAATATTTCCAAAATGTTTACATGAGTGCATGGTTTAGATAGAACATCTAATTAGGATTACGTTTAAAGTACGCATTATAAATATAAATATATATCCATATAGCCATAGTCCCTGAAACCCGACCTCGTCATCGCGATTGCCTTTGACTCATTTTCTAGTGTTTCATATAGAAAAGTACTTGGTAGGGTTTCGCATTCTAATTGACAACTTGGTTGATTTCTATGATTTCAGTCTAAAAGAAAAAGGAAAAATTAATGACATAATTGATTGGAAAATTTCTAATCTACGTACGTATGTATATATACGCATATACATACATAAGTATGTCTAACTATTTTACATACAGATAGAGAAACATTTAAGCACGCGACCAGAAAGTGTCCAGACGGAATATTTATGAATACACACACACACGTACATATACTCAAGTACATAAATGCGTAATATGTGTGAAGATGTGCTATCAGTTATACGAAGCCGATTCCTATTAATCAGACCATTTCCCGCTTATCATTGGCAATGAACTTGAGGCGCGCGTCTCGTACGACTTTTACGTACTCATAAGGGGCGTAGGCGTGGGCGTGGGCGTGGACATGGGCATTACGATGTATGAATGGAATCGGAATGGGCATGGCTGATATGCTACGTATGTAGGTGCAGCTGTCCAATAATCGATAAGTGTGAAATGGCCTGAGTGCATAAATAAACAAACTTGAAGTGTGAGAAGGTAGTACTTCTAATAGCCAGTTACCGTCATGCAGTGGCTAGTCGCGGTTGGTTATTGCTAACAGACTGTTTTGTTTACATATCGAATGACGCCATTTTCGGTCAGTGGTTCGATAGCCACACTGAAAATCAATTGACACGCTGTATATATTTGTTCATATGTATGTTTTTCCCTTCCTATGTGTTGTATGTTATTATTGTAAAAGGATATAAATACATCATTGTTGCCATAGGTAAGGTAAGCTAGCAAACAAAGCGATATCAGCGAATCGGGCACCCCCCAAAACTAACAAAAATACAAAAATAATGCCTAAATAAACTTGAAAATCACGCCACCATCTCACTCTCTACAAATTGCTTTCGAACACGCGTCATGCTAATGTCAATGTATGTGTAAGAGCGTGAGTGTGTGTGCGTGTTTGGATTATTTGTTGCCGGCTGGGCTGCCGGACAATATTACGACGAAGCCGGCGCGTCTCTCTCGTTCTCTCTCTCTCTCTCCCTATATTTGAATATATACATACATAAATATGTATGTATGTATGCTTCCTAAAACTGTTCTTGCAGACCTTCTTTTATTTTAAATACAAGTATAGCGAACCGCTGGTTTAGCTTAGCTTACTTCTTCTTTCACCATACCGTTCTCACAGTGCGCATCGTACGAGCTTTGTCGGCAAAACGTGCCAAACATTTATGTATGGGTGAGCGTCAGCTGCGACCCCGCTTTTGGCATTTCTATGCTAACATATTTTGTGTTGCACTGTTTTTGCGGCTCTCTATACAGAGAGAGAGAGAGAGAATCATGATGAGAGCATGTTTGTTTGTATTTGCGTTATTGTACAACCATACATATTTGTGTATACGTACACAAATAGTGTTGCCGCGCACTGTTGAGCATTCACTAATCACGCCATAAACAAGCAAAATCGCCGCGAGAGCAAAGTAGTTGTTGCACGAGCATCATCTCCAGAAATCACCTGATTTTCAATTACTCGCTATAAGTCAATCATTCGACTAGCCGGGCTGATGCTTAGCTTTCAAGAGAAACACAACATATTAGAAAGCTTTCTGAGTACAGCAGAAATATTAACAGCAGCTGTATTATAACATAGTTTAATACTAACATAGGCTGGCTATACAAATTTATTTAGCCACCAGTGTACATAATAACAGCTTTCCAACAGCAAAAATCTAATAGAAAAACTATTAACTATCCATATATATAGTTGTATTTGTAGAGTTAGTGACATATACTATGAATTGTGTTTCAATTAAGTTTTTAAATAAAAACTTCACTTTCGATTCAAAGTCCCCGTTCACTATCAACATTAATTATACTTTATTATATAATAAAAATGATAGTTTTTGTATATTTTGATTACTGCAAAGAAGTATGCAACACGATTGAATGTTAATGTTTTTAAATGTAATTATAAGATGCGTAAATAACATAACATAACATAACATATAGTAGAACAAATTTGTAGTTTAAAAAGCGATAGGATATTTAAAACTATAATAATATAATAAAATATAATTTGTACTTCTTTAAAGAGCAGTACTAAAAAATTTTAAATTGATCTTTTAAATTTTATAAAATATATACCATAACTTTGCGTAGTTATTTTTTATAATTGCTCATCTAATCCCCTAAGATTCCAAATTGATTTCGAACAAAATCTAATTTTGTAATTTTCACTTTGGATTTTGTAGTTGCTGAAAACTGTTACGAGCCGTGGATCAGCAAACTGTTGCGCTTAAGCAAAGTAACAATAGCAGCAGCCCCACTGTACAAAATAGCGGTAAAAGTGCACGCGCTTTACGTCGTCGCCGTCGTCGCAATAGGAAACAACAAAATTCACAGCAACCTGACGCCTTTAAGGAGCCAAGCGAGCAGCTAACACCTAGCACCTCCGATTGGAACCGTGCAACGAATACCCTAACAGACAACAACATGCCAGCCCGTTTTTCCGAAGAAGTGATCACCGCTGAGCCAGCGACGCGTACTGCCCCCCAATTGGACCTGGGTGGTGGACACTATGCGCCGCGTCAGCAGGTGTTAAACGAGGAAATCGCGATAACTGGTTTCTCTGGCCGTTTGCCTGAGAGTTCGAATATTGAAGAGTTTAAGCAGAATCTGTTCGATGGCGTCGATATGGTCACGGATGATCCCAGACGCTGGGAGCGCGGTAAGTGGAGACAACTTATTCGCTCCTTGATGT